TTAATTCATTATCATTTGAGTTTATTTTTGTTAGTATGTTGGTGTTCTTTGTGCAATGCTACTTATTTTTCCTTCTTCAGGCATCTCTATTGTGTTTTCTTAATGATTTATATGTATTTGACATTTTCCCTCAACTTCTGTGGATATTTAGAAAAACCTAAGAATAACTTGTAATAAACACCTTTCTCTTAATATTGGCCTTACCATTATTAGACTATGGCAAATCAAACAGAATTTTATGCAAGTCTGGAACTAGAAATGATTGTCTATAAAAGGGGTCTGATGGGTGGGTCCTCTCCTGGGTCAGACCTTCTTTGATCTTGTCCCGTCATGTCAGGGGTGGGGCCGGCCTAAAGACGTGCACTTCTGCTCAGTGTCCGAAGCCGTCCCGGAGTACCGGGCCTCCAGGGCAGCACACGGGGTACTGTCCGCAACCTCTCCTGAGTGTGCCTTAGCCACCCTCCCTCACTCTCAAAACGCCCTCACCAGGCGCCTGCATGTCTCCCGTGGCCTCCGTTGTGTACACGTCTGTAAGGATTTGCTCCGGGCCTGGGGGCGCCCTGGGCAGGATGGACACGCAGTGTCCCCACTGCTCCTCACAGGCGGATAGTTGGGACAGGTGCTTTGAGTTGGCTGCTCATCTGCCTCAAATATCTTGTTAGATATTTGCTGTCTTGTTAGACTTCGTGTGTCTCTGTCAACTGCCTTAAAACCCTTCCTGAAACAAAATGAAGGTTAAAAAATAAGCGATGTGCTTAGCTTCCAGCTGCCCTTGGGAATTGCGGCTCTGCATCAGGGGGCAGGTGAGGAAGGGGCCTGACATTATCCAGGGTTGGTTCTTTGGTTTTTCATCTTTCCTAGCCAGGGATCCATGGAGATCCTAACCTCAAACAGAAGGTTGCCTTTCCCTGTTTTTATATATTAGGCTTATATGAAAATTTTTTTTTGCCTCAAGAACATGATCTGTGGCTCAGAAGAGTTTCTGAAGAACCATGTACGTAGCCCCTTGCCTCTCTCTTACCCAGAGCATTCAGTGGGTGGTGGTGAGCACGCAGGTTTGCCCTTTGGACCTGCTCGCTGAAGGTGCTGAGGGAAGCACCCCAGTGCCCATGCCAGAGTTCTGGGGCCCAGAGAGCTGACCCTCTATGACTCAGGTTCCAGTGTGACTATGGGTCATGATCTAGCATGTCCTGACGAGATTAGCCTTTTCTTGGGAATTTATGTTTTCTTATTTTTCCCAGGGTTCCTCTCGGTAGAGGAAATACTTCATGTGAGTTCTCTTTGGGGAACGGGAGCATGGCTCCTATCCTTTGGCTGTGGCCCTGCGATCTGTGGGGCTGGCTGGTGCTGGGGTTTTGTTCCCATATTCACTGGCATCTGTGGTCAAACCCGGTTACTCTCAGGCCTGCAGTGCCCCTCCTAGCCTTGCGTGACCTGTGGTGTGGTATAAGTGAGACAGTGAAGTGCTTTGCAGATTTGGCAGTTTCATAACTCAGAAATTGTGCTTGAGTCCTTCTTTTTAAAGGATTGGAATTAACTCTGTTTCAGGAGAAAAAGTTTATAAAAATGGTCTGTGTTAATCCACAATGGTGTGATTGTAGTGTTTTGCCATGCAGGCCCTGTTCTCTGATCATTGTCGTTGAGGTAGGAACCCAGAGCCAACAAACAGTGGCTCATAGGTTTTTGTGAGCAATAACTTGACTTCTGTGTGTGTCATTACTGTGAAAACATGTGGAATAGGGTGATCTCCAGAATTGACATATGTCCATGTGTAAGGTCAGAGCTTGGTGTCAGCCTTCTTCCTCCTCGTTCAAGCAGGGCGCCCTGGTACCTGTGGAGTCCGAAGCACCGCACCCAGCGCTCTCGGCTGAGTGGGGAGAGGAGGAGGAGTGGCAGTGGCTCTGGGTCAGGAGGCCGAGCTGCTGACCTGCCAGTCTGAGACGGTGCTGGAGGTGCTGGGGTTAACAGCGATCTGTTTTATTGCTCTTCTTTCTCATATGCGAAGTGATTAAGAAAATTTTAGCCTAAATTAATTTTGATATGCGAAATAAAACAAACTTTTCATTGTCTTAGAAACAGACTTTTCTAGGCAACTTTTAAAATTTATTTTTATATTTAAATTGGTTTAAATATTTTAATGTTAAAAATATAAATTATATATTTAAATTTATAATTTAAATTTCTTTTCTGCTAAGAAATTGTCACATATTTTAAATCTGAGAAAGTTTGTCTTATTGCCTTGCTGTGGTGACTCAGCATCAGGCTCATCAAGGCTCTTCTTGTTTTTGTTTTTTGTCTTATCCTCACCTGAGGACATGCTTAGGGGAAAGGAGAGAAGACGACAGAGGGAGAGAAACACCAACTGGCTGCCTCTCCCCCACCCCACCTCATGCACCCCAACCAAGGAGTAAACCCATGACCTTTCAGTCTAGGGGACAACTCCAACCAACCCATGCACATCAGCCAGAGCAAGGCTCTTCTTGTTTTAATGAACTGTTTTCACAGAAGGACCTCTGTGTAGGACCTTCACTTCTCATGATGACTTTTACTGTAGGTTTGTTTTTTAATGGCAGTTTTATTGAGATATAATCACATACCAGAAAAATCACAGTTATACATGTCAGTAGTTTTTTGTATATTCACCAAGTTGTGCAACTACAACTGCTGTCTAATTCCAGGACATTTGTATCACTCCCCACCCATGAGCAGTCTCGCCTCTCTCCTAGTCCCTAGTAACCACTAATCTACTTTCTGTTTCTTTGCCTTTTCTGGGCATTTTGTAGAAAATGTATCATATAATGTATGCCTTTTTGAGTTTTGTTTTTTCACTTAGCATAATGCTTTTGAGGTTCATGTGTGTTGGAGCATCTGTCGGTACTTGCTGTTTGCTTTCTGTGTATCTGAATGTCCCTTTTCCCTCAATCTTTTATTACTGCCTTCTTTTCAGATTTTCTTGATTTTTTTAAAAATAGTTTTGAGTTATTTTCTTAGTGCTTGCCCAAGGGATTACAGCGAACACCTTGTAACAATCTAGTTCTTATTAATACCAACTTAATGTTAACAGTTTAAAAAATTATTTTACATCTATAACTTCATTCCTCCCTCTCTCCTTTGTGCTAATGTTGTAGAAAGTACATTTGTATACATTTTATATTCATTGTTGCAGTTGTCTTTTAACTCAGGAGAAAAAAGAATTACCAACAAAAACTACATTTATCTTGTCTTTTATATTTACCTGTATAATTACCTATTAGTTCTTCATGTGGATTCAAGTTACTGTCCAGTGTCCTTTCACTTTAGCCTGAAGAACTCCCTTTAGTATTTCTTTCAGAGCATGTCTCTTAGTGATGAATTCTTAGTTCTTATTTATCTGGCAGTATTTTAAGTTCTCCCTCATTTTGGAAAGATAGTTTTCTGGATACAGGATTCTTGGGTGACAGTCTTTTTCTTTCAGCACTTTGAATATGTCATCTCACAGTCTCTTGACCTCTGGTCTATGATGAGAAGTCAGTTGGCTGTTACTGAGAATCCCTTGTGTTGAGTTGCTTCCCTCTTGCTGCTTCAAGATTCTTTGTCTCTTTCAACAGTTTGCTTATGATGTGTCAAGGTATGGATATCTCTGAGTTTATTGTACTTGGAATTCACTGAGTTTATATGTGTAGATTCATATTTTTTTCATCAAATTTGTGAAGATCTTGGCCCTTTTATTTTCAAGTATTCTTTCTGCCCCTTTGGCTTTCCCTGCTCCTCTGGGATTCCCGTTGTGTGTATATTGGTCTTTGATGGTGCCCCACAGGCCTTTGAGGCTCTACTTTTCTTCATTCTTCTTCTTTCTGTTCCACAGATTGACCTGTCTTCATGTTTGCTGATTCTTCTGCCCACTTGAATTGGCTGTTGACCTCCTCTAATGATATTTTCATTTGAGTAATTCTACTTTTCAGCTCCAGAATATCTATTTGGTTTCTTTTATGATTTATCTTCATTGTGAGAGGCTCAGGTTGGATCATGTTGTCAGGGCTCGGGCCAGCAGTTAACAACTGTGCCTCAGCTTTCCCTCCTGCTTGTGCAGAGCTGCAAGGTGAGGGAGAGGTAAGGGTGCAGCCTCATCTTAGGTCCCTCTGGGCATGTGCATAGCCCTGCACATGCTCATGCCATCTAAATTCCCAGGTGTACCTTGGGGCTTTTTAAAGCACCCTGTTGATGTAATTTCCTAGAGTTTCCTTTTATTTTTTTTTTGGTCAGCCTCTTTTAGCAGCAGCTGTTATGACAGCCTCAGGCCCCGTGTTGTTAAGTAGTTGCTGCTGATTGTGACACATGGTTTGATGATAGCATTGTAGACACAGAAGTACTCTGCCTGAGGTCAAATAAAGAGCAGCTCCGAGAATGGAGCGTTTCAGTGAACTCCTGGGCAGATCAGTGACTGACAGCTGCTGGGGTGGCATCTTGGGGGAGCGCTAACCTCCCCCAGTGGCTGCTGGCCTGCTGCTTTCAAGACGGTCCCTGGGATTGAAGTGATGGGATTAGTGGGGTTCAAATACCCCAAAACTTGCTGCTCAGATGGATATCCAGCCTTTGTTTTCAATAAACACATTGGGTTATTGTGAGCCTCTCTTAATTTCCACAGCTCTGAAGAAGTTGATTTTGACATTTTTGCCGATGTTCCCCCGAGTGCTTTTGTTTCTTATTTAAACACTTTTTATTTAAGAAGAAACAGGGTTTATTTTTTTAAAACGAAGGAACTTAGATTTCTACATGTTTTGGATTTTGATGGTCATGATGCCTTCTTGATGGAGAATTTCTTAATGTGACCATTTGGGAAATGCGTGTTTGCTGTAGGTAGTGGCATTGGCCCTTTTGATCACTTTTTTTTGGCACAACACACTATGAATTAATACGTATTTGTTGAATGAACTAAGTTCTAGTGAATAGCAGAGAAATGAAACAAACATAAATTTGTACCTTAATGGCATTGTTTTGTTCTTAATCATGCTTTTGTACAGGGTGAATTTGAACTTGAAAAGAAAGCTGCTTTGCATGAAAAAGAGGAGAGGCACAGACTGGACTGTGAGCGGGTACAGTCCGTTCACCAAAAAGAGAAGGAGTCTTTGTCTCTGCAGCTTCAGGAGAAGAGCAACCAAATTCTGCAGGTGTGTGGATATGCCTTTGTTTCTTAGTACTCTTTTTGTATGTGCTAAAATATGCATACCATGAAAATGTCCATTTTAACCATTTTTAAATGTATAATTCAGGGGCAGTAATCACACTAGCACTGTTGTGCAACCATCACTACCATCCTTTTCCAGAGTTTACCATTTTCCCAAACTGAAACACTGTCCCTGTTAAACACTCCCCATCCCCCTCCCCCAGTCCCTAGCACTTAACCATCTACGTTCTGTCTCTATGAATTTGAAATGTGAAATCAAACAGTATGTGTCCTTTTGTGACTGGCTCATTTCACTGAGATTAATGTCCTCCGGATTCATCCATGTTGTAACCAGTGTCAGAATGTCCTTCCTTTTTAAGGCTGGACATTCCTCTGGATGTATGTTGATATAAGAACTCTTCAAACCTGTAGAGAATTTTTTTTACTTTTTTTTTTATTCTCATCCAAAGATAAGTTTTCATTGCTCAGGGTTGGGGGCGGGGTAGGAGGGCTGGGGGAGACTGAGAGAGAAACATCGATGTGAGAAACATCAGTTTCTCACGTGCCTTCTCTTACATGCCCTGGCTGGGGAGTTACCCACAACTTGCGCATGTCCCCTGACTGGGAATCAATTCTTTTGCCCCCCATGGGGAGGACGCCCATGTTCTCGGCAGTAAACCAGACTGTGCTGCTGTTGGCCATGCGCTCAGGGACTCAGGTTGCTGTATTGCTGGAAGGCACTCATTACTTTCAGCTTCTCAGGTGACCCAGGAACCTGTGGTAGCTGGTGCCGCCTTCCCACCCCACCCACTGAGACACTGCGATCATTGACTTTTTTGAGAGAAATTTGTCATACTGATCTTCAGTTTTCTGGCAACTCATTTTTATTCTGAATGACCAGAAAAGAGATTTTGTTTGTGAGAATAGTCTGTGGTGAATTGGCTCCCCTCCCCCTCAGGGCCGGCAGGCTGGGAGGTCGTGTATTCCAATTCTATAGGCAGAGAGTAATGGAGCAAAGACTGTATTAATACTTAATACTGTTCACCTTTAATCACTACCTTATTTGTTTTTTGTCATGTTTTTATTAAGTTGGATGATGAAAGTTATGGTGAAAGCTCCATATAGAAGTTTATTTTTAACTAAAGCTTTAACAATTTTTCCTCAACAGCTGGAAGACCAAATTGCATCCTTACGTCGTGAGATAGAAGAGTGCCATTCAGAACTGGAGACATTACAGCGAAGGCGGGACAGGGAGAACCAGGAAGGCACCAACCTCATCTCAATGCTCAAGTCTGATGTGGACCTGTCTCACAGCGAAAGGTCAGCACCCTCCTCTGTCACTGCCCCCTGAGCACATGTTGATGTTTGGGGGAGGGGACCCTTGTGCTGCATGATTCTCATCATTTAAAAAGATTTTAAACAGTGAGAAAAGTACTGAGTAATGTCCAGACACCTGCATACCCACCACTATGGAATTAAGAGGAGGATATGAAGAAGATTACATGAAAAAAAAGCCTCACATTTTGCTAAACTACAAAATTGATGCTATAGTGCAGGCACAGTTAGCCATCTGTCCCTTTGTCCTTTTCGCTTGGGGGTCTCATTTTAGAAACAGTTTTTTACTCTGATGCTACACAGATTTTTCCCCCATATTTCATCTCGGTTTTAGTTTTGCTTGTCCTATATGTTAGTCTGGAGTGCCTCTGGAACTGTTTAGTTTATTTACATCCAATGTCAGGAAATTCGTTTTTGTCTGTCTGAGCAGATGCTCAGTGTCCCACTTGTGGACATGCCTTTTTTCTGGGCCTCTTCATCTGTGCTGTGCCCAACAGCTTCTCTCTGCCCAGGGTCTTCTCTGGTTGTCCTGCACGGACCTCGAGGGTAAAGAGGGACCAGGTGGGGTGGACCGGCCTGGCTTCTTCCTGAGCTTGAAGTGTGGGATCCATGTCTTTCTCACTAAACAGAGTCCCCACCAGGCCTTGTTTCATTCTTTTGAAAGCATTATAATTGTCTGTGAAGATGTGCATGCTTTTCCAGCACTTGTTTGTAGCAACTGTGTTTTGATGTGGACTCCTCAGTTACCTGGAGTCACTAAGGTGGGTGCAGGGTGCAGTGTGGCAGGCTCTGTGGCCAGCAGCTCTGCTTGTGGTACACGAGGGACATGGGAGGAGGCAAATGATCCCTAGATGTTTGGAGATATGTCCAGCCAGGTGAGAAGCACCTCTAGGTGACTGGACACCCAAAAGGGTTTGGCATATTTGGGGAGCATCGTAGGAACCAGGGGTTGGCATGGCCTGGAAAGGCTGTGAGGAGGAGGTGGGGCCGACTTTGAGGGAGCCTTCTGGCATTTTCTCTCAGCAGAGCCAGCACTTGCCCTCCCTGACCCACTGTCTCTATGGTTATTCTCTTACCTTTTTCTGCATGGTAACCTCAGGGTCCTCGCACATCCTGTGCCCACCCGTGTCCTTGGTAACCACCTATAGGGAGGGTCCTGGGCAACATCCAGGAAGCTGTTAGGCCCCCCACCCCCCAGGGATTTTGTGCTTCATGCAGTCTGCCCACTGTCCTCTCGCCTCTCCTCACACCTCCTGCATGTGTCCCTCACTGGGAGTGATAGCTCTGGGAGGCGCAGCTCTTTGCTTCTTTTGCTCAGTGGTGTCTCATGCTGGGAGTCCTGCCTGTGTGGGGCCCTTGGTAGGGAGTGTGCTTGTGAACAGGTGGGAGTGGCCAAGCCCATGTCCCGCCCACTTTGGCCTCCTGTGGCCTGTCTGGCTTGCACACGAGCTGTAGCAGTTTGCCTGTAGCTACATCCTAGGCAGAATCAGGACGTAGACCAGCTGGATGGGCTGGTCTGGAAGGGTACAACTTGGACATAGGGTGCCGGCTGAGTCCTGGTCCTGTGAAGAATGAACCTCACCAGCCTTTGTAGTATGTGTGGCCCCAGGGAGAGGCATGGGAGAGCCTCCATGCACTTGGGCTGTGGGTCAGGCGTGAATAGATGACTCATGAAGGGCAGGGCCCTGAGGGTCAGGGAGGCTGTGCCGTGGGGATGGGTGGGATTTGTGCGCCTGAGGGGTGAACAGCTGCGGGGACAGCTCTACGGGAAGCCCTTGCCCTGTGCTGGTCGGCTGGAGACCGACTCCAGGGAAACATGCTTGAATGAACAATAACAGCATATTTTAAAGATGAGCAGCAGCAGCAAGGTCCTCTCCACTCCTGTTGCAAAGCCACCCAGCCAGGGTCCAGGCTGAAGGTTGTCACCCTTTGTGCTTCCCTCTCCAGGATAGCTCTCCAGGAGGCCCTGCGGAGGCTGCTGGGCCTGTTTGGAGAGACACTGAAGGCTGCCATCATCATGAAGGGCCGGATCAGTGAGCGTGTGGGGCTCTGCCTGGAGGATGAGAGCCCGCCCAACACGAGGCTGGGGGGCCAGTCCCCATCTGCAGGTGAGCACTGGACGGGGCGCGTGCAGCCCCAGGCCTGGGTGCCACCTACCCCCCGGGGCTGTGCCCTTCCTCCTACTAGCGTTGGCGAGCCCACTTCTTGCTGAAATGGGGTACTGTCCATAGTGACGTGGGCATGCTCATTCCTGGTGCTCAGGTTGGGTCATTGTGCAAGTTTCTATGTGGTGCAGGCCTCTGTTTTTGCTCTCTTTGTAGCGCCAGCACTGGATGAGATGTGGCCTGGGCCTGATGTGGCCCTGACAGAGCTGGATAAAACTTTGACTGAATGCACTGAGATGTCTTCCATGGCAGAGATCAGCAGCCACATCTGCGAAAGCTTTTTCATGAGCCCCGAAAGCACACTGGAGTGTGAGCAGCCCGTCAGAAGCATCTACCGGAGCCTTAGCCTGGCGGTGGACAGCCTCCTGGAGATGGTTCTGGACTCCTCCAAGCAGGTGCGACATGGCCCACTCGCCACCCATAATTTGCTCTGTGGCCCCATTCTGGCCCCAGTACTGATGTTCTGCCTCAGGAAAGGGCAGTGGGTGGATGAGTACGTAGGTCGGATAGACTGGTGGACTGTCTTCATTAGCGTTTCTGATTCTCACCAGCCCTGCAGGGTGTGGATGGACACTTTGGTTCTCCAGGTGGACCCGGCCTCTCTCTATGCTCTCCTGCACCTGGTGTTTGGGGTCAGAAACTGTTGATTCTGGTGCTCATACCCCCCCTTACCTCCCCTTCCTCTGCCACTCAGGTCACCATCTTCCTCTGAGGGTCCCCTTGAGGAGAAGTCTTATTTTCTGAACCAGAGTTCTTGAGGTAGTGGACTTGCTGTGAATGAAAAATAAAGCCTCAGCATTCTTAACTTAGATGATGTATGATTTAGCCCACGTCTACTTTTCTTTTTCTTTCATTTTTAAAAAAAATCCTCACCCAAGGATATGTTTATTGATTTTAGAGAGAGAGGAAGTGGAGGAGAGAGAGAGAGAGAAACATTGATATGAGAGAGAAACATCAATCAGTTGCCACTCGTACACACCCCAACCAGGTATTGAACCTGCAGCCTAGGTATGTGACCTGACCAAGGATCAAACCCGCAACATTTTGGTGTATGGGACGATGCTCCAACCAACTGAGCCACCTGGCCAGGGTTCTGCTTTTCATTATGTACTATTTTAATTTCACATTCAATATATTTATATTCAAAGATTATCACTGAAAAGGGGGATTATTTTTGTTAACCCTTTCAGGACATTTTAGATAATTAGGAGACATGTTAAATAGGGATAAGTGAAAGCAGTAGATTCTTTTTTCTCCAAAGTTTGCCCTGTTAAAAAATAAGCACTTGTATATGAAGCTTTGCTTTTCATATCTCAGAAATACTTGAGTGATTTTCCTTCCTCAAGGCAGGTGGGCAGAGCAACAACGTCAAGACCTGAGGTCTCTTTCTCATGCCCCCAGCTGCCTTTTCCTCTTTCACCTCCCCCACCCGCTTTTTTTTTTTTGAAAACCTGGACAGACTTGGGCAAAGTGCAACAAACAAATCATCAGGTGCTTTTGTTTGTGTCCCCTGCCCCCCAAATGTCATTACATGGAAACACGCCCTTCTGTGGGTATCTGGCATATGCAGGTGTCACTGGGCTGTAGCCTCAGCATGGTGTTTGACTATGTCCTTGCCTTTCATGGGCCCACTCTTGCTTTTCCTGTGTCCTGCTCCCTAGAAGTTTACCACATGGAGTACGTTCCACAGGGAGGTGGGCCATCCCCACAGCAGGGGGGAAGCGGGCTGTGTGGGAGGTGGGGTGAGTGGAGCAGAGTCTGTGGGAGGCAGGCAGGGCAGTGGCAGGAGGGGAGAGGGGCCTGTTCAGGCCAGGTTCAGTGATGGGGCTGCCTGGCGGCTATTGGGCAGGGTCAGGTGTTCTGAGAGGACAGAAGCTGTGAGAGGTGGCTCATGGCAGAACATGAGAAGAGGCAGCGTTGGGAGCTGTTTTCAAGATAGTCAATAGATTTTATTAGCAGCTGAGTTGCATCAAGTACATAGGATGGCCCAGACTAGGTGCTGAGTTGTCTGTCTGGACAGCTGGGAGTAGTCATCTTGAATTCAGAGAAAAATTAGGGCCCCTCAGTCTGTAGATGGCCTAGGATCCTCAGAATGGACACACCTACCAGAGGAGCCAGCGAGGAAGGGAAGACTGGGGCCCAGGACTGGGGCAAGAAATAGGGGCATCCAGAAAGGCTTGGGAGGCCTCGTGGTGACTAGTCAGGGAGGTGGAGACCTCAGGTTGCCTGTCCATTGTGGTGACCCTTCTTCCCACCCTGTGGCCTTCCCCATTTTCCTCTCTAACTGTGGAGCTGGTCACTCCTCCCTGCCCAGGTGCCATGCTCTCAGTGGTCATGTGTCTTTAACAGTGTTGCCATGTGGAGACACGTGTATCGATGGTTAGTAAGTGCATGAGTCTGGTTGGTGCTGTGTAGGCAGAATTGTTTGTTGTTGAAAATTTGCTGAATGAGCAACTTTATTTACTAATTAACATAACAGTGAATATGGAAACTGTTATCTCTTATGGAATATTGATTTCACCAGAATTCTAGGCAAGTAGAATTCTATTGGGATGAATGTAAGCTTTGATTATTTTTGATATGCAGTTCCAACTTTCAAATTTTCAGCTGGAGGAAGCACGTCAGATTCATGCTCGTTTTGAGAAAGAATTCACCTCTAAGAGTGAAGAGATGGCCCAGGTTGTTAGAAAACACCAGGAGTTACTGGAACGCCTGGAGGAGGAGAACTCGGCCAAGACGCAGCTGACACTGGATCTGCACAAGGCGGAAGGTGAGTAGCCGGTGGCCAGCAGGGACAGGCTGGAAGCAGGCACTTGCCTTGCTAAGGGGAGGTATTAGCACAGAATTTTTAAAAGCAAACAGTGTGACACATCAGTGACTTTCCTCAGTGGAATGAATTGCCTTTGATAGGAACTGTGGTAGAATTGGGGATGGTCAGGTTTCCAGCAGACAGGCTTGTGGGCCGTTCAGTCTTCTGGTACTTACTTTCTGCTGCTTTTTGGGGGCAACAGCCTTAGAGTATTTCATGGCATGGTGAGATTTGAACTTTCATCTTCCCATCACAGGTGATGGGCAGTGAGTGTCCCCAGAGTCACCACTGTGACCACTTCCGACTCCTGAGACTCTGGTTCCTGGCACTCACAGTGGCCATGTGTGCCAAGCGCTTGGCACGAGTGAGTGAGTGAGTGAGTGAGCGTGTGTGTGTGTGTGCGCGCATGTGTTGGTGGGTGCTCATAGGTGCATTGCATTGTCCGGCAGCTCCCACACATGGGAGTGGGGTAGCCCTGTGCTCTTGTGCTAAGAACCAGGCACAGGTGTGACCACTCACTCTCACGCTGGTGCCAGGGCTGTTCTTGTCCACCCAGCTGCTTCATTTGCTCTTCCAGTGGTGCTTCAGCAGTCCTGTCTCTCCTGTCTCCTAAGGCATCATCGAGGGATTCAAGGTGGAGAAGGCCAGCCTGCAGGAGGCCCTGGGCCTGAAGGAGACATCCGAGCAGGGCCTCGTGGCCGAGCTGGAGAGCCTGAAGCAGCAGCTTCAGCGGGTGACTCGACAGCAGGAAGAGCTGAAGGAGAAGAACTCTGTCCTGTGGCATCAAAAGGAGGTGGCAGCAACAGAAGCAGAAGAGAGAGAAGCTGGTAAGAAAGGTTGACTCCAGGGTGGGAGGGTGGATCGTGGGTAGCATCCCAGCCATCTTTTGTGAAGCTGATCTTGACTTTTTTAGAGGGTGGAGGGAAAGACGGCAGCACTTTTCGGAGGGAACCTTCATGTGTGCCTGTGTGCTGTGTGTGTGGCTTTGAGATGAGTGCGAGGTTGGATTAGCGTCCACTGTCCTCCGGGTTCTCCTGTCTCTGAGGTCAGAGTAACCTCTGGCAAACAGGTCATTGAAAATGTCACTAATTTGTTTGAGATAAGCAGCCAAAACCATGAAAAAAATGAGGGCAACTTAAAAGGTTTATTTAAAATAACAAAAAAGTTTCTAATGTTAACCTTTACTAGGAATACATAAGTTTAATGAAAGAAGCATGCAGTGTTGAATTTGCAGTAGCAGATTTGTAGCAGCCCTCTATGAGCTCAGCTCTCCCAGAGCTGTTTCCCGTGCTGACTTTAGCGGGCGGCCCTGTCTGTCCCTGTGCCGACCTGCCTGTTCCCCACTGAGGTGTGACTGCTCGCCAGGTCAGAAAGACGGAGCTCCCTGCCTCTTACTCTCCCCAAAGTCTCTGCCTTCACCATGATTGCAGCTCTCTGCCTATGCTTTGACCTTAGTCACTTGTGGGCTACCCTCACCTATTTCAGAAACTCACTTTTCTTCCCCCAAAGTGTTTCTTTTAAAAATTTTTTTCCTCAATAAATAACCAAAAAAAAATCTTTAAAAAATGGCAAGCTTTTGACTTTGTTCGCCACTTCCCATCTTCCTTGACATGGACCACATCTCTGCTGTTTGTTGCCTCCTTGGTTGCGTAAGCCCTGCCGGTGGGTGCTCAGTTCATGCTGACCTGTGCCCCTGGTGGGCGTACAGCTCCAACAGGCCTGCCATTTCTTTAAGTGAATAGAAATTTGCAGGCAGTTCTAGGTTTCCATTCATGTACAATAAATACTCTGAACTGCATTTGTAATCATTTCCAGACCAGACCTCATCTTCTTGCTCAGCTTTCTTTCTTTCATTTATATGGAATACATTTCCTTTGTCCCTTTTTCATTTTTTGATGTAAATTTTTGTATTAAAAAATTAATCTAGCTTTCTTGTTTTTTCCTTGTATATCAGTTTTCACCCCTTTATTTTCAGTTTTTCCATATACTTTTAATTGCCTCTTGTGGATGTTATATTAATGACTTTCTAAGAAGTTCAGCTCTGAGCATCTCATTTGCTCTGTTTAGCCAGGTTTTATTGCTGTGCTCATGACTGTTTGGGTCTCTTCCCTTGTTTTCTGTTTTCCATGCTTCCTTAGGGTGCTCTGACACCACCACCCTACACACACGCACGCACGCCTTCCGTCAGCTGACTAATGCTGTGTGTCCAGTGTTTCTTCTGCACCAGGGTCTCTCATTCTCCAACACTGAAACCTGACCTGTCTCTCCCTCTTGTCTCTGTACCACCCCCAGCCATGCACCCATCAGGCAAGGCTTTCGCCCACATTTGTGTATTTATGCACACATGTGTGCAAGTTGAGGGTTGTTTTTCCTCAAGTTTCAAAGAAGGAAAACTTTCTTATACCTCTAGTACCTGAGATTTACCTTATTTTACCCTCACCCTTAAATGAAGTTGTAGCTGAAAAGATATAATTCTAGATTTGATTTATTTTTCTTTAAAATATGAGGCTATAACCCACCTTTTCCTTGAGTCTAGTATTTCTGCTGAGATGTCTTTACCTCATTCCCTTTTCTAAATTTTTAAAAAAGATTTTTTTATTTTTAGAGAGAGAGGAAGGGAGGGAGAAAGAGAGGGAGAGAAACATCAATGCACAAGTGAAACATGAATTGGTTGTCTTTTGCATGCCCCATCCTGGGGACCCGGCCCACAACCCAGGTGTGTGCCTCTCCTGGGAATGTAACCAGTGACCTTTCGGTTTGCAGGACAGCTCTGTACGCACTGAGCCACAACAGTCAGGGCTTATGTTGTTTCTTTGTAGATGTTTTTAGCAATGTCTCTTTGCTCTGATGTTCTTACATGTCCCTAGGGTGGATTTTTCTTTTCTAAGGTCTGATTTTTTTTTTTTTTTGGTTAAATCTGGGGATTTGCTTCTTAGACATTTTTTCTTCTGTTCTCACCCTTTTCTGTCCCTCTGGAACTCTTTATAGGCTATACTTTGTAGTGGGACAGATCTTCCTTTAAGGGGGGTAGGTAGCTGGTCCTGTACCCTGTCCAGTACAGATCCACGTTTACACTATGAGCACTGGTATTTCTAGCCCATTCTCCTCATCCTGAGGGTTGGGATGCAAAGGTATGGGACCAAATGAGTGGGCTGTGGCACAGCCTTGTTTTAGCTGCTCAAGACCTGAGTGGCTCCTCCTCAGCTGGGTCTGGACCCTGTAGCTCCTGATCCAGCCCTTGTGTGGCGTTGTCTTTGTTCACACCTGGCTGGGCTTCTCTGTGGCTTTTCCTAAGGCTGTGATCACCCTGCAGAGAGCCCTGGCCCACCTATGTGCCTGCAGCACCTGAGGAGCCAGGCCATGGAGGGACAGATCATGGAACCCTCTCCTGGACCCAGAGCAGCCTCTTCTTTGCTTTGTTTTGTCACCATGAAATTCTTGTGCTTTCTTTGGGATACTCTGGGTTTGCTTTCATTTTCACATATTAATCCTGGCTTAATTTGTCATTTGATCTCTGTCCCTTCCCCTCATCGTGCCACGCAGCTGTGTACTTCCAGTTGGAGGCACATGCCATCAAACTGAAGGTGCCATTCAGCCTGTGCAAGCTGTTTAATTTACTGTTAGCCAGCATAACACCTGCCCCCGACCCCCTCTGGCTCCCCCAGGTGCTGTCAGGGGGCCCTTGGTCCTGGGTCTGCTTTGGGGCCTCATGACCATTGGTCAGATTTCCAGGAGTTTTGGGAGTTCCCGGCATCTCATGGGGAAATTCAGCTCTGTCTCATCTGTTTGTATGGTGTATTTCAGGGCAGTGCCAGCTGTCCTGTGTGTTTTCTTTGTCTCTTTTAAAAGCCATTGGGAGCCAGGACCTGCTATGACACCTGGGCAAACAGTCCTGTGTCAGTCCATTTGGTTGTTGTGACAAAACACAGACTAGGTGGTTCAAAAACAACAACAATTTATTGTCACAGTCCTAAGGGCTGGAAGTCCAAGGTCAGGATGCTGGCACATTGCCTTCTGGTGAGGAGCCTCTTTCTGGGTTGCAGACAGCTTTCCCTCTGTATTGTTACATGCAGAGGGGCTAGGATGCTCTCAGGGTCTCTTTTAGAAAGGCACTCACCCTAGCTTGAGGCTCCACCTTCAAAAGATATCACCTCTGAAAGGCCCTGCCTCCTGATGCCATCACATAGGGGGTCAGGGTTCAATATACGGAGACTCAGACGTGTAGACCCATAAGCAGTGGTGGTTTGGAAATGCACAAGTTTTAGAGGTTGTCCAGGGCCAAAGACATTCCTTGCTGCTGTCATTTCCCGTCTCTGGTTTCTGACTGTCACATTCTAGGTTGCACATTCTCCTGTTTCATCTCTGAAAGAACTGTGTGTTCATTTCTAGGCGTTCCTGTTACTATAGCACACAAGGACTCAGGTTTGTGAAAACAAACGAATTATTTCTGTGCGATTTGCTTTGTGTTTGCAGCAGACTTTATAATGTTATACTAAAGAGGAAAAGTACTCCAGAGCTTTTGCAGCAAACTATTAAACAAAACGATAACTTTCATTTTCAATATTCATATGTAGAAATGGGCATGCCTTTCTTTGGTGATGCCTGTGGCAGTTACTGAGTTGCAGTGTGTGCTGTTGTGCAGGGCTTGGGGGTCTGTGGGAGCCTAGGCTGGGGGTGGGGGAGGCCCAGTGGAGCTCCTGTGCTATTCAGCTTTGTAGTCAGCCCTCAGCACGGCCTTGGCAGCAGTGCGCACACGCTTTCCCCTCTGTCCTGCTCGCATGCAGGCCACATCTGCTGGCAGCAGGCCACGTGGGCTGGCAGCCGGAGTCTGCTGCAGTGTGTGGCCCTGAAGGTTGTATTGTCTGGGCGGGTGATTGGGCATCACTGACTGTCACAGAAGTGACATATGAGCCTCATTTTGTGTTTCCAAGCGCTGTGAATGACACTGACCTAACTGCATGTTTAAGGCTGATTTACTGTAATTGCTGACTTACTAGCATGACAATCTGAGAACGTAGTTAGTAGTGACAGTGGTTTGTCATAAAAGACAGATTTTTTTTTTGTAAACCAGAATAAAGCTTTGAAAGCTGGTGAAATGTAAATAAAACCCTAGGGATTTAATATTTCATTTTTTGGGGTAATTTGAACACTCAGGCTTCCATGAAGCAAGTCTCTGTTTGTTTAGACGCTGCTTGATTTACAGCTTCCCCTTGGACCGCAGCCTCAGCTATTGCACTGTGAATTTAAATCGGCTTTTGATTCACTTAGGGTTCCACCTCTTTCCTCCGAGATCCTACCCTGGCCCTGGGCACATAGTGCTTTACTGCCAGGGGCTCATCAGGGCTGTGTTCCCTCAGACAGAAGTTTTAAGTGACGTTTTATTTTCCCTATTGGAGATTATATGAAAAGGTGTAATTTGTAGAAAGTTGCCCAGTATTGTCATTTGGGAACATCAAGATAGATTCTTATTAGACTAGAAATTTTTTAATTTTAGCCAATTTTTATTTACAAATTGCAATTTTAAAAATTTATTTATTTTTGCAAAAGTGCTGGAGTTTATTTTCCCTGGGTATTTTGCTGCATTGTGGCTGTGTTAGGACGCGGGCCTGACATCCAACAGGACACAGGCCCACGCTGGTTTGTGGGCATACATTCCCTCATCTTGAGGTGGCCATGCAGCCTGGGTTGTGTCCTGGCCCTACAGGAGGGGAGGGAATGCAGGGCAAATCATGATACGTGTGTGTGGGCTGTGGGGGTGGGGTCTGGAAGACTTGGGGACCCTGTGCTCAAGTCCCTGGCCAACACTGGGTCCTGGGCCCAGGGGCGCTGGCCGTGGTGTTGTGTGGGGCGTGTGTTGTGCTGCATCACTATTAGTAATAAACAGGTGCTTCGTGTTCTTGGTGCAGCCCAGGGACCGTGATGCGTGCTGTAGGGCTCCCCTTCTGTTCTCTTCACCTCTGTAGCTCTTCGGAGGGAAGTCGAAGCTGCCACCACAGAGCGGTTGGAGACCAGGCAGCAGTGCGAAAAGGACCGTGCAGCTCTGCACGCCCAGGTGAAGCTCCTGGAGGCTGAGCTGGAAGAGCAGGTCTCACGCCATCGAGCTTGTGCCTCACAGGCTGAGGAGCTCTGTGCCCTGAGACAGCAGATGGTGTCCCTGGACAAGCACTTGCGCAGCCAGCGGCAGTTCATGGACGTAAGCGCCTTACATGTTTTGTTGGCTTCCCTGGAAGTCATCTCTACAGCCCCGGCCTTTCCCAGATCATTAAATAAGCTTCTGTGATCCAACAAGAAGGATTAACGTACAGTAGACCTTCATGTGACCATGTCTCTTGGTGGACGGTTCAGACATTGTCAACATTTGTGGTGTGTGATTCTGAGGGAACACCCGCTCATGGCCACACTCCTTTCTGTGGTCTGGGCAGAAGTCTCCCTCAGTCCAAGTTGTAGGTCCTGTGTGCCCGGCACTGCCTTGGCACTATCTGCCCTTTCTGTCTTGTCTTTTGATGTTCCAGAAGCCTCCCCCACATTTCATGGGAAGACCCTCCTCCCCATTTAGCTCTACTTCATGCATATAGTGCACACGCGGTACTGGGCAGTGGCCACGTGTGTGAAATGGAAGCCCTGGCTGTAGCATCAGATCAGGCATGTCCTCTGTCCACACATCTTTCAGTGGTCCCTTTAAAGGGAAGAGGATGCGACTGGGAAGTGACATCACAGTAAGCAACCCTCACAGTCTGCCTCTCGTGATAGGAGCAGGCCGTCGAGAGGGAGCATGAGCGGGAGGACTTCCAGCAGGAGATCCAGAGGCTGGAGGAGCAGCTCCGCCGAGCAGCCCAGCTGCAGTCCCGGGGACCCCGCGACAGTGACGTAAGTCACCCTGCCATGTGCCGCACTTGCGGGGTGGTAGTTCTCTGTAGTGTTTTTAAGCCTTATCTTTAAAAATATTTTTGCCTTCCATGTACGTGGATATGACAGCAGACACAGCTGGATGAGGAGGTATGTGTTCTGTCTGTCCCTGCCCTGTCTACCTGCTTGGCTGGTGCGCTTGAGCATGTGGGCGGGTGGTGCACCTGCTCCTGTGTCCTGCGTCTCTTTCTTGCATCCTGCTTGGGCATGGCTTGGGCCTGTTTCCTCCTGTCTGAGATAGCTGTAGGTGATTTGTTTATTTTTTAAAATTAAACTTATTTTGTGATAACTGTGGTTTCAGTCGCAGTTGTAAGAAATAAGACGCACAGAGATCCTGTGTATCCTTCTCCCAGTTTCCCCAGTGGTGATATCCTGCAGAAGCCAGCCCAGGGTCACAGCCGGGACAGTGACGTGCAGACAGAGCCCCATGGGGCCCTCATCCCGATCCCCGTAATAGTTTATTTCCTCGTGGTTATACAAATGAATCGCAGTGGGCAGCCTTTGGGGATTGCTTTTCACTCAGTCTAGAGATTCTCTGGAGATTCATACAGGTTGCTGTATCAGTGCTTCATTCTTTTTTTATTGATGAGTAGCAGGCTATTCCTCACTGCCAAATTTATTTTAAGCTCTGGCTGAGTGGCTCAGTTGGTCGGAGTATTGTTCCATACACTAAAAGGTTGTGGGTTTAATTCCTGGTCAGGACACATACCTAGGTTGCAGGTTCAGTCCCTGGTCAGGGCACGTATGGGAGGCAAATGATCAATGTTTCTCTCTCTCTGTCTCTCAACTTCCCCTCCCCACCCTAATCTCAAAAATCAGTGAACATATCCTCAGGTGAGAATTAAAAAATTTATTTTAATAATAAATTTCATATTTTTATTTATTTCTTCTATTGAGAGAATACCCTTTTTATTACAGCTTTATCATATTCTTTGCCAGGCTTTCTTGTACAGCCTAGATCTACAAAGCCATTTGGAAGATCATTTTTCTCTCAGTTGTCTTGGGTACTTTTTAATTTGGAAGATGGTTGGGTTCCAAAAGGTGTTTTTTTTTTTTTTAACTGTTGTATTTCTCAAGCATTTTTTGTTGTTTTAGGTTGAATTGTTACAGGAAAAATTGAGAGAAAAATCAGATGAACTTAACGAATTGGTTATGAAGAAAGAATTATCAGATAGACAAGTATTGATCCAGGAAGAGGAAATTAAACATCTGGAGGAGACAAATGCCGATACCAGGAGGAAAGTGACCCAGCTCCAGGAAGAACTGGAGAAGCAGAGGAAAGCTGTGCAAGAGCTACAGCAGGTGAACACCCTTTGTTGTGTAGGGTTCTGTCCAGTCCCCGCTGAGCTGCTTGGAGTGGGCAGGGGACGCATGGTGGCCCGCCCTCCTTCTCATCAGAACGACTATGTTTTAGTGAGGACCTAGACCAGCTGCTGATGGAGTTCCCTCTAACCTCTCAGCTTTTCTTTGCTCTAAAGAAAAAATAAAGGAAAAATGCTTCCTGTGTCTCCTGCACAATCAGTCCTCTGATATATCCCTTCACAGCTGGCACTTCTGGTCACCAAACAGGCAGCGGATTCTCACATACAAAGCAGGCATTCAGTTCTCAGCAGATCTCAGGGGGGTGTCCTAGAACTTAATTCTGCCACCGTCCACCTGGAGTTAGCATCAGACACCACAGGTTAAGGGTTCAGTCTGACAAGACTGCCCCTTGTGACATGAGGTGTCCACTGGAAGTCCAGGTGGTAGAGATCAGAGGTCCCCAGAGGTCCTCTTCGGGTTCTCTTACTTCACTGGAATGATTCACAGAGCTCAGAGAAACATGTTCCTGGTAGGTCACCCATGAGTTATACAGGATATAACTCAGGAACAGATGGAAGAGAGTCACCAGGTGAGGTAAGGGGCACAGGGCTTCTGTGCTCTGTCCAGGAGTCCCACTGTTTCCTTATCTTCACGTGTTCATGAACCCGGACACTTTCTGAACCTTTGAGGTTTTTTCGGAGGTCTCATCACCGAGTCACAATTGATTAAATCATTGGTTGTTGGTGATTGATTCAACCTTCAGCCGCTGCTCTCCCCTCCCTGGAGGTCAGGGATGAACTGAAAGGTCCCGCCCTCTAATCACATGGTTGGTTCCCCTGGCAACCAGTCCAATCCTTAGATGACCTGGGGGCTTTCCAAAAGCCACCTCAGTAACATAAACTAAGGTGTGGCTGAAAGGGGCTTTGTTATGATTATCAACCACTTTTATTATTACTCTTGCCACTCAGGAATAATTCCAGGGGTTTCAGGAGGTCTGTACCAGGGATTAGATGAAGACCAGTACATTTTTATTATAAATCCCAATATCACACTAAAATAGCACTTACAACAATTTTTATAGTACTTGGTAATTTCATAAATATTTGAGATTTCAGGTTTAAAATGTTATTTCACTAAATACTTAGAGTTAATTATAATTACTTTAATTTTTGAGTTTAGTAATTTATGTCCTCTCCCACCGTGAAACTGCCTCCAGTGACAGCTTTCCTGTTGTTTGAATGCTTTTGTTTGTATCTGAACATTAGGATGAAGCTGCAGGGCTGTGCTAGGGGTAAGGAGGGCCTGTAGCGTTTCTGGTCATTCAGCATTTCCTCAAAACCAACTGAACTTCTGATGTCTCATTTATTTCATGTCACATGAGGTTAAAAGGTTATGTGAAAAGGAATGCTCTATAAGAAATTTTTCTTAGAATTATTGGTTTGGCCCTGAGAAAAATGCTGCCTCTAGGAGGTGAGTTTTAATCAGGTGTGCTTTGTTCTTGAAAATGCCCATGAGAACTATTGAAGGAGTCAGGCTTGACTCTTACCTGAGGACACCATCCTGGCTGGGTTTCATCTCCTCTCTCTTCCTTTCATCTGCCTGGAGGGGAGTAGTGCTTGGTGCTGACTTGGGAACAGCTCCTCAGGCTGCTTCCCCATGCCCCAAGCAAAGATTTACTGCACTTACTAGGTGCCAGGGGTATATGAAATGCCTTTTTTTTACCTCCACAAAGTTGGATCAGTGTGTTGTGGCCATTTTATCTGTATTAAATTTTCTTCGAAAACTTTTCAGTGGGCTGTTAATAATAGTCTTTGTATGCATGTATTGTCAGCCATCGCCCTGAACTTTGGCAAGATTTTTCCAATTTTTAAAAAATTGCTAGCAGTCTAGGGACTGTTTTGGTACCTTGAATAATTACTAAGGATCAGTTTCTCCGAGTGGAATCACGGACCGCCTGTGGTGCTCTCTCTGGGGTTTCCTCCCTCACCAGGCAGGTCTCTGCTCTGGAGCATGGCTGTGCCTGGGGATCAGATGTGGGACTTGGAGGTGTGTGCAGGAAGATCTGGGGACAGTTTACACTTTAACAGTCTACACTTTGAGGCCTCGTTTCTTGAAATACTTGCCTACAATAAATCTCCTTTTTTAAAAAATAGGATAAGGAGGCATTACAGCAACAGCAGATGAGTAACTTGCTTCTGGTGTCCACATTGCAATCTAAACTAGATGAAGGCAAATGCCCTTTGCCTCCTGCAGACAGCTGCCCTGAGGGCCCAAAAGTCCAGTTAGAGACTGTACAGAGGGCGCTCCTGCAGCGGGAAAGTGAGGTAAGGGGCTGGGGGTTACTGGGCAAGGTTTTCTTTTGTTCTCTGTCGAGGCCTGTGTTTGCTACGCTGCTGTGTAAAGGGCGGGGCGTCCAAACGATGCATCAGTGTGTCCAAACGATGCATCCAAACGATGCATCGATGCATCGATGCATCGGTGGGTTTGTAGCTACTGTGTATTCTTTGTAATTTTAACATTTTTATTGGGTTATAGAACAGAGAATTTTTTTTGGCATGTACTTTTAAATCTTTTAGCATGATTTTAATAATTATTAAATCAATTAGAATATTAGGTAATTTTAAATATTTACCTTCATTTGTTTCAATGAAAGGTTTTAGAATTAAAAGAACAATTAGAAAAGATTAAAGATGACTTAATTAGTAAAAGCGAAGAAGTACTACATCTGAACTTAAAATTAGACCTGCAGAACAACCATGCTGCCATCAGCGTCAGAGGACTACAAGAAGAGAATGCCAATTTGAAGGTAAAGCGAACAGACCCACCGTGACATCTGAGTTTATGTTTATTATGTAAGTGCTGCCGCCCAAGGTGGGAACCGTTATTTACGGCAAGTGGGGACCTCAGGCCTTCCCGGGAGACACGAGGCTTCCTTCTGAAGACGGAGGCCTTGTGCTGGCAGGTGATTCTAGGAAGTGCCTGACTTGTGTCTGCACTGGGGTTGGCAGCTGGAGCAGCTTGAGAAAGTGTAGTGGAGACAGCTTCTCAGAGTCATGAGTGGAAAACCAGTCACCCTGACTGGTGACCTCCACCTGCTTTCGCCTCCGCACCAAACACTTGCTTTTGGTTTGCAGCGCTGATGACAGTCCAGTCTTTTGAGGGCAGCGTATTGGAGTAAGATTGTAGGAGAGGCACTTCCCTAACTACCAAGGAAACAAATCATAACTTGGGAACATTGGCTCGGCTCTGGCCACTCCCAGGTGCTCACTCTAGAGGTGATGATGTCTAGTAAATGGTCGCTCATCGTTATCCTTCCCAGCTCAGGATGGGAAGAAGCAGCTTTTAAATCAGAAAGACTTAAAAAACAAAAACAACCTTTATTAAGTGGACATGATAATCAAAGTTGTAAAGAACACATAACCTTAGAAGATGGCCTTGAAATATATTGAGTTTAGAACTGTGGCCTATGATGCCAACCTGGCAGTTGTTCAGTGAACCAATAGCATTGCAAGAAGTTCTGGGGGCTGTGTCATTTGTTCCTAATACTCCCGAAGATGTCAGCTGCATGATTTAAAGTACCTTCAGTGAAAATGGAATTTTAGGCTGATCCTAGAATCATTGCTCATCTGCTTCGTGGGAATCCATCCTTAATTACTAGATGGGAAGCATATTAAGAACAGGCTTTACCTACTCTTTGATGGTTACTTTAAACAAATTTCCTGGAGAAATGGATAACTCATTTTAGAAAACCAAGCTAATATGTCATTTTAAACTAATATGGCACTTTATTTAAAAAAAAAATGTTCAAATTGAGTGTGAGTATTTGAAACTACAGGCTTATTCAATTCGGATAGTTCATATCTACAAGGCCTGGGGACTATTCCCATAGTAATACTTTGTTGGCTTCATTATTTTTATTACTATTATCATTTCCACAGGCATTTCTGCAAAACAAAGAAAAGGAGATACTCCATATGAGTGAGCAGCTTGAGGCGCAGCTGACTGGGATGGGAAGTGGCGCTCTCAGTGAGGTAGGTGGTCCTTTGGCTGTGAAGACCCCTTAGGCATTATGTTCTTGGTAGTTTGTAGGTGTTTTCTCAGATCAACAGAGACCTCAGGTACAGCACTACATAAAGCTTTTAATGGCTTTTTCCATTAATTTTGATTAAGGGTATAAGGATAGTGGCAGCTGTTAGGGTAAAAAAGGTGTTTGTCTTCAGTTTTTTCATGTCTTCAACTTTCACAGTGACAGTGGCTATTGGGATATTAATGATCTGTGTTAGTATCTTATATATTTGGCACAACTCAAGAATATTATTGTGTGTTCTTTTGAGGAATGCCTTTAAAATCAGCAACTACTTTTAAAATTTTATTTTTCAGTACAGTTGACATACAACATAATTGTTTCAGGTGTACTGCAGAGAGATTAGGCATTTGTGTACCTTATGAAGTGATCTCATGATAAGTGTACTACCCACATGCAATCACACGTGGTTATTACAATATTATTGACTATATTTCTTATGCTGTACTTTACACCTCCATGACTGTTCTGTAAACTACCAATTCGTACTTCATAATCCCTTTACCTTTTCCACTCAGTTCCCCAACCCACACCCTCCCCCCAGCAACCTGGCAATCATCAGTTTGTTCTTTGTATCTTTGAGTTTGTTTCTGTTTGTTCATTTTGTTTTTTAGATTCCACATGTAAGTGAAATCATATGTGGTATTTGTCTTTTTCTGTCTTGACTTATTTCATGCAGCATTATACCCTCTAGTCCATCTATAGTGCAAGTGACAAGATTTAATTCTCTTTTATTGCCAAGTAATACACATCTTCTTTATCCAATTGTCTGTTGATGGTCAAGTTATATATCCAGTAAGAGGTTAATATCCAAAATAGATAAGGAACTCATACAACTTAACACCAAAAACCCCCACAAACACTTCCTCCATATCTTGCTTCCATGTCTCATCTATTGTAAATAATGCTGCAGTTAACATAGGGGTGTGTGTTCTTTTCAGATTACTGTTTTTGTTTTCTTTGGGTAAATACCCTGAGGTGGGATTCCTGGATCATATGACATCTCTATCTTTAATTTTTTGAGGAACCTCCATACTCTTTTCCATAGAGGCTGCACCAATTTATATTTTCACCAACAGTGCACAAGGGTTCCCTCTTCTCCACATCCTTGCCAGCACATGTTGTTTGTGGATTAATTGATGACAGCCATTCTGACAGGCACAAGGGGATATCTCATTGTGGTTTTAATTTGTATTTCTCTGATGATTAGGGATGTTGAGCATCTTTTCGTATGTCTATTGGCCATCCATATGTCTTTGGAGAAGTGACTGTTCAGCTCCAGTTTTTAGTTGTTTGTTTTTTGTGTGTGTGTGAGTTCCTTATCTATTTTGACTATTTAACCCTTATCAGTAGTATGATTTACTCATATCTTTTTCCATTCAGTAGATTGTCTTTTTGTTTTATTGATGGTTTAAATAAAGTTTTTAGTTTGATATAATCCCACTTTTTTTTTCTTTCCGTTGCCCAAGGATATATATCCAAAATAATATTGCTAAGACTGATGTCAAAGACTTTACTGGTTATGTTTTCTTTTAGGAGTTTTATGGTTTCAGGTCTTATATTTAAGTTTTTCATCTATTTTGAGTTTATTTTGTACCTGGTATAAGAAGATAGTTTAGTTTCACTTATTTGCACGTGTCTGTCCAGTTTTCTCAACATTGTTTATTGAGATGACTGATTAAAAAAAAAAAGACATTGTATCATATTTGTCTTTACTGTTCTATAATTAGCCATGTGAATATCATTTACATATTAAAATATCATATTTATTTGTTTATGTGATAAGTAAAATTTTTAGTTACACTAAGAATAGATAGCTTTAGCCCTGGCTGGTGTGGCTCAGTGGATTGAGCGCCAGCCTGCAGACCAAAGGGTCATTGGTTCGATCACAAGTGGCCTGGGTTGCAGGCCAGGCCCCCAGCAGCAGGCGTGTGAAAATGCAACTACACACTGATGTTTCTCTCCCTTTCTTTCGCTCTCTCTCTAAAAATAAATAAATAAAATCTTAAATTAAAAAAAAAAAGAATAGATAGCTTTATAAAGACAATCCAGGTGTTCTCTTTTGGAATTTTGTTCATTTTTATACAGGTGCAAATAATATACATCTTTCATGTTCTACAATTCTACTTCTAATTTTATGGAAAGATGTGGACAGTATTTTTGCTTTGATATAATAAAACAAAAATTCCTCCTGTTGGGCTGGTTCTTGTTAGGTTTCTTATTCTTTGAAGGAAGCTATATTTTTATCCTTATTTCATATCAGTGAAGATTTTTAGCACACATGCTCCAAACTGCGGACCTGGCCCACAACCCAGGCACGTGCCCTGGCAGGTAATCGACCTGGCAGCCTTTCAATTCACAGGTCAGTGCTCAGTCTACTGAGCCACACCAGCCAGGGCTATTTTATCAGGGTTTGGTGTGAATGTTTTGCTGGTCTTACAAAATGAATTGGAAATTTTCCTACTTTTTCTTTTTCTGAATGAGGCTGTTTAATGTAAATATTTTTTTTTTTCTTTAAATGTTTTAATAAAATCAACAATGAAACCATCTGGCACGGTAGTTTTCTTAAGTGGGAGGTTTTATAATGAATTCAGTTTGATTAATAGTATAGGGATATTTGGATTTCTATTTCATCTTGTGTTATATTTCAAGTCTTATATTTCAGTTTTTTATCTATTTTGAGTTTATTTTGTACCTGGTATAAAAAGGTATTTTAGTTTCATTTTTTTCGCATGTATTTGTTTAGTTTTCCCAACACCATTTATTGAATAAATTGGATAAGTTTTATAAGTTGTTATTTTTCAGTGAATTTGTTTATTTCATCTAAACCGTCGTATTTCATGGCATGAAGGAGTTTATAATTGTTCCTTATTAACTATTTCCTTATTAATTCATTGAATAAGTTCTGCCCTGATCATTGTTTCTTCATTCCTGATATTGGAGAATTTGTGTTTTCTCTTTTTTTGTAGTCTCAACCTAAAATTTTTTCAGTTTTTTTGATGTTTTTACTAGTTTTCAGCTTTGCTAGTTTTCCCAATTTTTTCTTCTATTTTGATTTCCTTTCTTTCTTTTTTTAAAAAATTTATTCCTTCTATTTACTTTGTGTTTATTTGGCTTTTTCTAGTTCTTTAGGTGGAACCTTAGGTCATTGATTTTATATGACTTTTATTTTTTAATACAACCTTTTCTTATCTTTCAATTTTTCAAAGTTGAAAAAAAATTATGACAGTAAAATTCAGTTTGGGGGTACAGTTCTATGAGTTTTGAAAAATATTTTTAGTCCTATAATCACTGCCATATTTGAGATACAGACTAGCCCCTCACTCAGAAAATCTTGCACTGCCTCCCTAGGCTTGGCAACTGCTGATCTGTTCTTCAGCCCCCTGGCTTGCCTTTTCCAGACCACTGTTTCAAGTCACACAGTATGTGTTTGCTGTTCGTCCATGTTGCGGCACATACCAGTAATTCGGGGATTTTTTTGTTTTTGTTTTTTGATTGCTGAGTAGCATTATGCATGTTCCAAGGTTCGTTTATCCAGTCACTCACTGAGGGATGTTTGGGTTGTTTCTAGGATTTGGTGGTTATGAAGTGAGCTGCTGTTTATATTGATGTGCAGGGTTTTGGGTGCAAATAGCTAGGCCGATTCATAAGTAAATATGTGTTTGAAGAATATATTCATATGTAAACATCACTTTGAAGAAACTGCACAACTGTTTTTTGCAGAATTGCTTTACCATTTTACATCCACCAGAAGTATATGAGGGCTATAGTTAACCACATCTTCATCAGCACTTGGTGTGGTCAGTTTCATATTAGCCATTCTGATTGCTGTACAGTGGTATAGCCTTATAGTTTTCATTTACATTTCCTTAATGCTTAATGATCTTGAGCATCTTTTGATGTAGTTTTTGCCATTCTTATTGTGGTAAACTGTTCAAATTCTCGGCTAATTTTTAAAAGTTGTTCATTTTATGATTGTTGAGCTTTGGGAATTCTTTATATCTTCTTAACACAGTTTTCATATATCTGCAAATATTTACCCACTCTGCAACATGTCTCTTCTCTCCCTTTAAAATGTATTTCACAGAGCAAAAGTTTTAGTTTTAATGAAGGTCAAGTTATTAGCTTTTTAAATAGATCATGCTTTTGAAGCTATGTCTGAGAGCTCTTTGCCTAACCCAAGATACAGAGGTTTTTCTCTTAGAAATTACATGGTTTTGCTTTATATTCAACAAGTGTATGATACACGTTGTTTTTGTTTGTTATTTTTTTTGGACACGGATGTCCAGTTGTTCCAGCACTATTTGTTCAAACATGAATCTTTACTTCATTGAATTGCCTTTACACCATTTACAAAGATGTTTGGATCTATTTTTGACTTCTTTTCGGTTCTGTTCATATAGGTTTCTCTCTATTAATACCACACTATTTCTATTTCTGTAGCTTTATAGTAGAGTCTTGAAATAGAGTTATTGAAGTCAGCCAACTTTTTCTCTTTACAAAATTGAAAAAAAACTCTTGCTGGTATTGTGATTGGGATTGCATTGAATTTATACATTGATCTGGAGAGAATTAACATCCTAACAATTTTGCATCTTCCAATCCATGACATGAACATGTATATATCTCTGTTTGTCTTGTTGACTTCTTTTATTGGTGTGTGTAGTTGTTGTTGTTGTTTTAATTTTAATCCTCACCCAAGGACATGCTTATTAATTTTATTTATTTTTTAAAGGTTTTTTAAATTTTTTAGAGAGAGGGGAAGGGAGGGAGAAAGAAACATCAATGTGTGGTTGTTCCTTACATGCTCCCTACTGGGGACCTAGACTGCAACCTTAGCATGTGCCCTACACTGGAAATCACACCAGTGATCATTTAGTTCACAGGCTGGTGCTCAATCCACTGAGCCACACCAGCCATTGTAGTGTTGTGTAGTTGTCAGCTTACATATCCTGTATATATTTTGTTAGGTTTATACCTGCATTTGTTTGTTGTGCTATCTTGAAAGATATGTTTGTTTAATTTTTAAAAAGTATGCTGTGGTTTTGTTTTGTTTTTTTTTTGTCATTTTATTTATTTATTTATTTATCCTCATCCCAGGACATTTTTCATTGCTTTTAGAGAGAGAGGAAGGAAGGGAGGAACAGAGGGAAAGCAGGGAAAGGGAGAGAGAAAGAGACAGAGACATTGATATGAGAGAGAAACATCAATTGGTTGTTTTCTTGTATTCATGCCGACTAGGGATTGAACCTGCAATCTGGGTATGTGCCCTAACTGGGAATTGAACTTGTGACCTTTCAGTTTACAGGACAGTGTTCCAACCAACTGAGCCACACTGGCCAGGGCTATATTTAATTTTGAATTCCAGTTGTCCACTGCTTATATATAGGAATGCAATTGATTTTTAAAATACAAGGCTTATGTTATATGACCTTGTTAAATTCACAAATTCTAGATTTTTTGTTGTTAAGTCTTTGGAATTTTTTATGTGGACTGGCACGTCATCTGCAAATAGGGACAGTTTAATTTCTACCTTTCCTGTCTGTATGCTTTTCACATTTTTTCCTTGCCTTAGGAGCTAGTTAGGACTTCCAGTGCTATGCTGAGTAACAGGAGTCAGAGTGGACATTTTTGCCTTGTTTTTATACCTCATGGGAAAACATTTAGTCTTTTACTGTTAAGTGTGATATTAGCTGTAGGTTTAAAAAAAGATATTACTTAAGTTGAGGAAGTTCTTCTACATTCCTTGTTTTCTGGAGTTTCGTGCTTTTATTTTTTAATCAAAAATGGTGTTGAATTTTGCCAAATCAGTTTTTTCTGCATCAGTTGATAAAATCATGTGAATTTTCTTCTATGGATTTTTAATATGGTGGGTTATATTGATGGGTTTTCAAATATTGAACCAGCCATGACTCCCTAGAATCTCACTTGGTCCTGGTATATATTCTTTTCTTATTTGATGATTTCTATTTATTAGTGTTTTGTTAAGAATTTATGTGTCTATATTCATCAGGAATATTGGCCTGTGGTTTTATTGTGATACCTGTTTTTGGCATCATGGTAATATTTGCCTTATTGAACGAATTGTTCCTTTTTCTGTTTTCTGGAAGAGACTATAGAATTGGTACTATATATATTCTTTAAATGTTGAGTAGAATGGTTGAGTGAAACTATTCGGCCCTGGCAAGTTATTTTTTAAGTTATAGATTAATTTTTTTAGTAGTTATGAGACAGTCAAATTAACTTTCATACTGGGAAATTGTTGGCCATTATTTATTGAAGATTTCTTTACTCTCTTCTGGAGCTCCAGTTACAAATATGCCAAACCATATACACGTCCCCGCATGTGTACACAGTGTGGGAGCATGTGGTGTGCCCCGTGAATGAGGTAAAGAGTCACATTCTTCATTACTTAAATTCCCTAGCCTAATTTTATCACTTTTGTTCTTACTCTGTTGTTAGAATGACACCTGAAATCTAAACTCTTCCTTTAGGAAAACCAAACGAATCAGTACTTTAAATATTAACTAAATATTTGTTTAAATGGTGGTGAAATACTAGTATAAAGGTGTCATTGACTGAGGAGTGACCAAGTTACAGAGGCCCCTGAATTCTGATGGCTGGGGCTGGGGGCTGAGCGCTGTGGCCCCAATTGGAGTGTCTGAACTGCCCAGCAGCGATAGGATTTTCCTTTTTACCAGTTGGAGATACTGAAAGTAGTTGGGGTACAGCATTTGGGGTTTCTTTTAAATATTGACTGTGATTTGGTGACATTGTTAGTTTGTTCCTTCAGCTGTTCTGTTTTCATGCTGTGAAGCCTCCACTTCTGACAGTGAATTCACAGCTGTAAGTTGAGAGGGGGTTCTGAAGTTCATATGTAGTTTGCTTCTGAAATGTGCTCTTTCCCCAGGTTATGTACAGTAGAAGCTCTGAAGTGGAGGAATTGAAGTCCATTATTGAGACTTTGCAGGAGAACCAGGAGCGGCTGCAGAAGGATAAAGCAGAGGAAATCGAGCAACTGCACGAGGTCATCGAGAAGCTGCAGCGGGAGCTGACCCTTGGAGGGCCTGCCGAGCATGAGCTTGGTGATAGCCAAGCCGAGGACCTCCAGAGTGAGCTGGCACATGGGCTGTTGTGCCTGCAGGCTGAGGGAGCTGAGGCCCAGGCTGCGCTGCAGGCTGAGCTCCAGGCTGCCCTTGTGGCCAAGGAGGCCTTAAGCCAGCTGCTGGCTGAGCAGGAACACCAGCACGGCCAGGCCCTGGAGGCCCTGCAGCAGCGCCTGAGGGTTGCGGAGGAGGCTGCCGCGAGGCAGCTAGCCCAGCTGGGGCATAGCTCGGCCCTGCAGGAGGCTGAGATACAGGGCTTAGCCTCTCAGATTCAAGAGTTTGAAGCTGCCCTCAAAGCAAAGGATGCAGAGATTGCCCAGAAAGATTTGGAAATTGAGACTATGAACAGAAGGCGATCAGCCCACTCCACCGAACTAGAGGCCATCCTGTTGGCCTTTTCCCGCCTGCGCCGCACCCTGGAACAGCAGCCCCTGGGTGCCATGCATGAGCCCCCTGAGCTGCTGAGGCTCAGAGTGCAGTGCGTCCGCCTCAGCCGCCAGCTGCAGGCGCTGAACCAGCAGTTTCTGAGGTGTCAGAAGGAGCTGGACAAGCAGCAGGCAAGCAGGGCCCCTGTGCTCCCTTGTGTGAAGGACAGCTTCCAGGGACGTATGGCCAGGGGTGACAAGGCCTCATGTGATGAAGAGCTGGAACAGGATGAGAGCAGCAGACAGCAACCTGTGGCCTCCTGTGGCCAAGGCAGTGATCCACAGGTGGGCCTGGCTCCTCTGTAGTCCCACAGGTGCAGCCTGCGTGCAGAGAGCTGGGGTGCGCCGTGGGAGCTGGGGTGTACTTGGCTCCTGCAGAAGGCCCTCACCCACGCAGCTGGTGGCCGAGCACTGGGGCTGGACCAGAGGGAGCTGGAGGCTCTGTTAAGGAAACTGGATTCTTTTTCTTACTGTCCTACTTTGTGTCTCTTTTAATTAACAACTGTTTTCTCTGTGCTGGGCAACTGGGGAAGCAGTTTCCAGTGGGTGCCTATTGCCAGGGAGGGGAAGTGAGTCCTCAGTGTGTGCTGTCTGGGGTCCTGGCCCATTTACAATCCATAGACTCTCAAGTCAGGACGTACGTACACAGTGCGACTAGGCTGGGTTTTGCTGTTTGTACAATTTTAAACCTAATTGCTGTAAGTGATTTAAGCTTTCTAAAACACTTTTTTTTTTCTGATAGAGAACATCCCGTGATATGGAGCTAAGCCTGTGTTAGATGTCTAATCAAATGGTTTATCTTTTATTAATATTTCCAGTGTAAAATATTTCAAGGTCTTTTTTTCCTGGCCGGGAGGGCAGCACGCTTCAGTTTGTGTTTGAGTAGAACTCTGAGGATCACTGCCCGCTGCTCCATCAGCTCGGTGTTCTGTGTTGAGCAGACCCCATTCTGTCACAGCTGCTGCCCGTGCCCTCAGAGCCCTCGGCCTCTAGCACATCTTGACCTGTTGCGGTTTATGAGCAGGAACAGGACTGCTGCATGGCTCTGGGCTCATGCCTCAGGGCTCCCAGAACATGAAGCCACCCCACAGCTGGCCATCCTGCACTTGTGACATTCCATGTGTTCAGCATCATCTTTATAGCATTGTCATTGTTTTTTCATCTTATTGTAGAGCCCAGTGAAGGCTAATCAGCAGTCTGCCAAAGCCCTGGTGACGGTAAACCACACGGGTCTCCACGAACAAGACAGCGTGATGTCAGTGCTAACAGTTTGCCAAAGGCAGCTGGAGTCTGAGCTGCTCCTGGTGAAAAACGAAATGCAGTTGAGTGCTGAGGACCATGGCAAAGCATCAGGGACATTGAAGGTACTTGGCCCCTTTCAGGAGAGATGGGCACAGCAGACATGGAGCCAACCATGGGCTGTCTGCTGGCATTGTTGCTGCAGTGACACACACACACAACATACATTGTAGACAGTGACATGTTCTCTGAATCCATCATATTCTCATAGCTGTTCAGGTTTGTTTTGAAGTTTTCTCTGTGTTTCATTTAAGCGCTCTCTAGGAGCTTGATTTGCATTTCTCTAATGAATAACGCTAGTCGGTATCTTTTTGTGTGCTTATTGACCCTTTGTATATCTTCGGAGAAATGTCCGTTGCTCATTTTTAAATCAGGTTGTTTTTTCGTTGACTTTCAAGAATCCTCTATATATTTGGGATATTAATCTCTTTTCAGATGTATGATATGCAAATATTTTCTCCCATTATGTGGGTGCCTCTTTTTTCTAGGTATAGTGTCTTGATGCACTAATATTTAAAAATTTGAAGTCCGGTTTGTCTTGTCTTTTGCTACCTGTGCCTTTAGTGTCATATCCGAGAAATTATTGCCAAATCCAAAGTTGTAAAGCTTTTGTCCTATGTTTTCTCAGTTTTATAGTTATAGGTCTTCTTAGTTTTATAGTTATAGTGTAAGTTTTTGATCCATTTTGAGTTAATTTTTGTGTACAGTGTTTTGTAAGGATCCAACTTTATTCTTTTGCATGCAGATATTCAGTTTTCCCAGCACCATTGTTGAAAAGACTGTCCTTTCCCCATTGAATGGGTCTTGACAACCTTACTGAAAATCATTTCACAATATCTGTGAGGGTTTACTTCTGGGCTATTTTGCTTCCTTGGTCTATATATCTTTATTATGCTAGTACCAGTGTTTTGATTTCTGTAGCTTTAACTTTAAAAATCAGGAAGTGTGAGTCCTCCAGCTTTGTTCTTTTTCATGATAGTTTTGGCTATTCTCTGGTCCTTTAAGATCTTGTATAAATTTCAGGATGGGTTTTTCTATTTCTCAAAAAAAAAAAAGTTACTGGCATTTTGATCTGTAGGTCGCTGTATATTATCAGCATCGTCACAATATCAGGTCTTTCAGTTCGTAAACATAATGTGCTTTTTCAATTCAGTTATGTCTTCCTTAATTTCAACAGTGTTTTTAGTTTTTCATTGTAGAAGTCTTTTGCCGCCTTGGTTTATTCTTTTCTTTTCTTGGCTGTTGATATTATAAATGGAATTGTTTTCCTTAATTTCCTTTTCAGATTGCTTATTGTTTATGTGTAGATGCAACTAATTTTTGTATGTTGACTTTGTATCCAGAGACTGCAGAATTTACTTAATTTTTAACAGTTTTTTTTTTGTGTATGGAATCTTTAGGATTTTCTTAAATATAAGATCATATCATCTATGAACATAGTTTTACTTCTTTCTTCCCAATTTGGATGCATTTTTTTTTTCTTTTTCTTCCCCAATTGCTCTGGTTAGAAGCGAAAGTAGGCCTTCTTTCCTTGTCCTTAGAGAAAAATTTTTTAGTCTATCACCATTGAATATGCTTTCCACTGTGTTTTTATCATGTATGGCTTTTATTATGTTAAGATTTTTTTCTATTCCTAGTCATGTTGAATGATTTTTATCATGAAAGGGTGATGAATTTTGTCAAATGCTTTTTGTGCATCAATTGATTGTGTGACTTCTTTCATTCATTTTCTAATGTGGTATATATTACATTGATTTTCCTATGTTGAACTGCCCTTGCATTCCAGTAATAAATACCACTTAATCATGGTATATAATCTTTTTAATATGCTATTGAGTTCATTTTTCTGGTATTTTGTTGAGGATTTTTGCATAAATGTTCATAAGGTATATTCATTTATAGTTTTCATTTCTTGTACTGTTTGGCTTTAGTATCAAGGTAATGCTGGCCTCATAGATTGAGTTCAGAGGCATTCTGTCTGCTTCTGTCCTGTGAAAGAGACTTCAGAGAACTGGTATAATTTCTACCTTAAATGTTGGTAGGATTCACCAGTGAAGCCCTCTGAGCCTGTTGCTCCCTCCTATTCAGTTTATTGGGAAAGGCTGAAGGATTAATAGTAGTTCTTTAAATGTTTGAGTAGAATTCACCAGTGAATCCATCAGATCTGGGCTTTGTTTTGTTGGAAGATTTTTGAGTGCTGATTGTTTCCTTCTTTGTCTCTTATAATCTCTTTTTTGGTTTAAATATATTTTGTTATTAATATAGCCATCCCTGCTCTTTTTGGGGGTTAATATTTGCATAGAATATTTTTTTCCCATTGTTTCACTTTCAGCCCATTCACATCTTTGGGTCTGAAGTGAGCTTCTTGTAGACAACATGTAGCTGGGTTGTGTGTTTTTATTCATTCTACCAATCTCTCTTTGATTGGAAGGCTTTAATTCATTTACATTTAAAGTAATTACTGATAAGGAGGGATGCACTCTTGTTATTTTGCAAATTGTTTTCTATATACCTTATAGGGTTTTGGGGTTTTATTTATTTATTTTTGGGTCCCTCATTTTCTTCAATATTGTCTTCCCTGCGTGCAGTTGATTTTTTACAGTAAAATAATTAAATTCCTTTCTCATTTCTCTTTTTGCATATTGTATAGCTATATTCTTTGTGGTTACCATGAGGATTACATTTAGCATCCTAACATCATAACACTCTAATCTGAATTTATACCTGCTTAACTTCAGTAACGTAAAAACTCTGTTCCTTTACAGCTTCTTCCCCACCCTTTTTGGTTTTTGATGTCACAAAATTACATTTTTATATCTGTGTGCCCCAAAACAAACTAATAATTCTTTTAAATGCATTCAACTCTTAAATTATGTAGGAAATAAATGAGGGGTTACAAACTAAGTTTATAGTGATATTCTTTTAGATTAGTATTTTCTTAGAAATATTTAAATTATGATGAAAAAATGTGGAGTTAACCAACCATTATTGCAGTAACATTAGTTTTTATAAGCCCATATATTTATCTTTATTGAGATCTTTATTTCTCCATGTAGTTTGAGTTACTGTCTAGTGAGTGTCCTTTCATTTTACCCCACAGGACTCCCTTGAGTATTTCTTGCAGATCTAGTGGTAATGGACTCCCTCAACTTTTGTTCACCTGAGAATGTCTTAATTTCTTCCTTACTTCTGAAGTCGTTTTGCTGGATATTAAATTCTTTGTTAACGGTTTTTTGTTTAATTCTTCTTGCACTTTGAATATATTGATCCACTGTCCTCTGGCCTCTAAAGTGCCTGATGAGAATTCTATAGATAATCTTAATGAGGATCGCTTGTATATGATGAGTCATTTTTGCTGCCTTTAAAATTCTGTCTTTTGAAAGCTTGATTATAATATATCTCAATGTGGACCTCTTTGAGTTCATCTTACTTGGAGTTTGTTGATCTTGGATATTTATATTCATATCTTTTCATCAAATTTGGGAAGTTTCCAGTCACTGTGTCCTCAAATATTCTTCTGCCTTCTCTTTGTCTTTGGATTCCCACAGCGAGTATGTTGATCCACTTGGTGGTACCCCACAGGTCCCTTAGGCTCCATTCACTTTTCTCATTTTTTTTTTTTTAATTTTCCTCAGACTCAATATTTTCCATTGTTCTACTTTTGGGTTCACCAGTTTTTTTCTTCTGCCTCTGCAAATCTGCCTTTGAATCCCTCCAGTGAATTTTTTTAATTTCAGTAATTGTAGTTTTCAGCTTCATAATTTCTTTTTGGTTTCTTTTTAGGTTTTCTATGTCTTTATTGATGGTTCTGTTTTGTTATACATTAATTTTTTTTTTACTTTGTCCACACCTCCTTTGTCTAATTCTTCGTGCATCTTTGATACAGTTTCAAAGTCTTTGTCTACTAGATCTTGCTATCAGGTCTTTTTCAGGGATAGTTACTGTCGAATGGTTCCTCTCCTCTGAATGAGCCATACTTACTGTTTCCTTGTATGCCTGATGATTTTTGTTGTAGTTGTCATTGTTATTGAACACTGAACATTTGAATATATATGGCAAATCTGGAAATCAGAAATCTCCCTCTTCCTTACAGTGTCGGGGCGGGGGAGGGGAGCGGGGGGTGTGTGTGTGGTTGTCTAGGCTGTCTCTGCTGAGGATCAGCCTGAGGTGATAACTTAAGCTCTTCTCAGGCCTTTTCCTAGCCTGCACCTTTTCCTGGATACACAGTCACTTTCTAATTTCCTCTGTGTATGTAATTGACTTTGAATGTCCCAAGTTTTTAATTTCTTCCCCAAAAGAAAAAACAGGGGGTAGAAAAAAGGCACCAGCCCTATAAATCTTCTGGTGCTCACTTCAGCCAGAGGGGTAGAGACTGCAACCATGGCCTCCTGCCTCTTCTGCGCCTCTGTGATCAGAAGCGGCAGCCGGAGCACAGATCCCCGCTGGTGTCCCTTTGGCCCACCCTGACTTCCACAGTGTGTGTACCAGCTGCTTCAGAAACACACACACAATTGCCTGCTTTACGTTTGGGAGTGGGAGACACGTAGCTGCTCTTCTTCTAAGAGGTCAAATTGGCCCAAATTGACTACAGTTTAACATCCAGGCCTTCCCCTGGAAGTTGTAAACCTTCAGTAGGCTCTGTGGTTCCAAGATCGTTACATCAGACAAGAGCTTGCGACTGTAGTTGATGTCCAGGTGGGGAGACCAGACCCTTAGTGCTTACGGCTGTGCCATCTTCCCAGAATCCTCTCCAACAGTTGCCCTTTAGGCACAGAGCCTTAAGCTCTGATTCTGTCTTTAAAAATTTTTTAAGCTTGAAATCTTAAGGAGTCTAAAGGAACCAAAGGGCTCATCACAGAATCTCATTATTAAATGTTCAGTTTCTGAAATTGGTTCATAAAACTGGTGCAGAGAGACAAATCTTACACTGTGTAATGCCATTATTTTACTGTATGCATGTTCTGTCTTTCCTGTAGGTTAAGGAACGACTACTGAAAGATTATAAGCTGCAGAAAGTTGATGTCATAACTCAGGTGAAACAGCTTCAAGAAAAACTGAATCATCTAGTATACTCTATGAACCTCCAGAATGTCCAGACAGAGGATTTCAACTCTCAACAGCCATTGGCATTTTCTCATGTTGTAGAAAACAGTTCAAGTGGTAGTTCTACGAATGGTGAAGAAACTGACCAGTCATCTCCTGTTGATACAATTCATATCAGTAAAATCCCACAAGATCTAATTGACATTATTGGAAATCAGGATTCATTGATAAGAAGAAATGAAATGCCACATGTTCCCATGGAAGACAAGGGAGATTTGCAGGATGGGTCACTTTGTTTACAGGCGAGCTTGCCTAGTAGCTCCCGTGACTTAACCTACACCGAGGAGGCTGAGCCTTTGAAGAGTGCACTCAGTGCAATGGACCTGTCCTTCTGGAGCTCCCCTGAGGTTGTCAGGAAGGACTCAACCCTTGAGCCACTGTCCAGCCTGCCCGTAACCCCCTGCTTGGACGCCATGAGCCAGCGCAACCTGGATACCTCCCTGAGGGACAGAACAAGCCCCTCACTGCTCCAGGCTGACCAGTCGGGGCTACTTTGTTCCCCCCGCAGGACAGCAGCAGTAAAGGCCCCTTGTTGGGCAGAGTCATCATTGGCCACAGACAGGGCTCCCTCTGCTGACCATCACGTGCGTCGTTCAGCTATGGTAGGTTTGCTTCCTGGGTGCTGTCCTGGTTCAGTGTATGTAGGGTGCCCAGGGCCCCAGTATGTTCCCATGGGATTGTGTCTGCATGACCCATGGTGTCACAGCAGCAGCCATTGTTGGTTCACCTCCTGCAGTCCTGTGGGCTGGGTGTGGGTGAGCACCTCATAGCCCCCGGTCAGCTGTATGTACGGTCAGCTTTCTGCAGGACTGACCCTAATCTACTGTAATATGAACATCTAGATCCTTGAGTGATTTTTGAAAATATATGTGATGTTTTTGTCCTACTCAGAAATAATGCTGACTTTGAGAAGTACAGTCATAAACTCATCTTTATGTATAGTTTGCATATAGGCTCTTTGTTTAAAATGTATTTTTTAGATTTGTTTTTAGTTATATTGCATATTTAACAGGTTCCACATGTAATGCTAATTAATTTCAAAAACATTTCAGTTTATTATTTTTGTTAGATTATATCTTCCCTAACATGATTTTGATAATTTTGTTTTATCTTGAGTTAGAAAAAATGAAAAATTAAGGGATATGTTTTATTTGAAGTATCCATATTCTACAATTTTCTACAAAAATATCTGAAATATTTGCTAGTGATTTCATTAAAATATTTTAGAGAACTGTGGGTGAATTTGATCAAATTGTTAGAAGCCTATGACCTCAATATGTCCATAAGCTTTGGACACTTTTGTTTGGGTTCTTTGTGGGAAGATAAATTCAGGCCTTAGAAATCTGTTTCCATCTGACAAGTTCAACTCCATGATGTAATAAGTTGTTACTTTATAACCATTTAAAATTCTACCCTTGAACAGGAGAAAGATGTTGAGGATTTTATCATAACATCTCTTGATTCTCAAGAAAAGTCAAGATTATCTCCTCTTGGGTTAGAAGGAAAAAGCAATGGCAGTGAAAACAGTGAGTTTGTCATCACTATTTTTTTTAAACTATTTTTACAGTTTCAGAGTCCACAGAGCACTGAGAATTCCTGCGTATCCTTCACAGATCCCCCAGCATTATCATTTACCTTGTTTGCTGTGTGTACTGCCTGTCTCTTCCTGTTTGTTTCTCCCTTTCTTTTGTGTTTGAACATTTCTTGGCCTGTTTGAGAACCTAGACTGCTCAGCAGGGCATCCCCTCTGGAAGCTCAGTGCTGAGGGGCCTTGCCAACAGCCCCCCAAAGTTCTCCCTGCCCCAAACTGGGTCCTGGTGGGAAGGAGCAACCAGATCTGAGACTGCTTCTCCATCAGGTGCCGCCTCTATTTTCCAGAGCATATGCTCCAGCTGTCCTGGACCACGGGGTTTAGGAATGGATCAGAGGCTTGCACTCTTCTGATAGGTTTTGAATTCTGATTTAAGGACCTCATTCTGTTAGAGGTTTCTAGAGCCTCTAATTCTAGACCTGGTTCAGGGTTACTCAGTCCTACTGGCTGGTTTTAGGGCCATCTACCCCTCCCTCCACCCCACGCATGCTGTGCATGGTCACCTTTGTCTGACCAGACATCTGCTGCTTGTCCAGTTGCTCTCACCCTGTCCTTGCAGTTAGTATCTTTCACTTCCTCTCTCTCTGTCTTCTAGGGCTGGGATGTCACCCTGTCTTTACCCCTCCTTGGGTTTGTGCATGTCTGTTGGCTGCAGCACTTGCTCTGTCTTTTAGGGATGAGGAAAACACATCCACATCTGGGTAAAAATGGCTGAAATACCCATAAGGTTTACGTTACAATCATGAATATTAACATTTTAAACATGCAAAATATACTTTATTAATGCCCATAGTTCTCATCTGATGTTTTTATAAAAATATTTTTACCACCTTTGTAGTTTGTTGAATTTTTTTTTCTGGTTTTTTTTGAGAGAAGAGAGGATCACAACCGTAGCTTTCTGGGTGTTTTGGGGCCCAGCCACACAGGTTAGTGAGGTGTCTGACACCCCTCTACACTCTGCAGAGTAGCCATAGAAATGCCTCTCAGAGAACTGCAGCTTTAGACCCTGATTTGGTGCTATGTTTTTAGGTAATGACGCTGGCTGTGGAGAGATACTAAACCAAGGTTCGACAGGACTGGAAGCCCTCACTGCCAGTCCTGCGGTGCCGCCCCCTGCCTCAGGAAGCTTCCAACACCTGCCAGAAGCCATGAAGGAGAAGGAAGTCCACCCAAAGCAAGTTAAGGTAACGGGCAGTGTGAGCAGTGTGCAAGGTGCAGTGGTGGGCTCCCTCCCTGGCCCGCTCTGTAACTGTGCCGTGGGACTCGGGGTGATACATGAGGGTCACGCTCTGCTTAGACAGTGCAGCTTCAGCTCTGTCCTGCTTTTATGCGTCATGTAAGTGAGGCGCGTATTGGTCCTAACACCAGCTTCTCCACAAGGATAGCCCTCGGAAGCCGCCTTCCTCCTCTCTCAGGCTCTTTGGGCAGGACACAGATGGTCAGTGAGTGTGTCCCAGCTTCCCACTGCTCTATAATAAAGGATCCTCTCCTGTGCTCACAGACCCTGCAGGCAGGGACTCAGACAAGGGCGCATTGGGGTCTGTCTCTCTGCACCGTGTATCTTGGGGCACTGCAGATCCAAAGTGGTCAGTAGCTGGCCTGGTGCCATCTACAGGCACCTTGTCCCCTGAGGCAGCACCCATCAGTTTGGACACATGTACCCACTTCCCATGAGGCTTCCTTACAGAGTGACAGCTGCAGTCCCAGGAGAGCCAGGAGAGCGCGCGGGGTCCTCATAACCTGTCCCCGGGAATGACCAGAGGCCCTGCCCTGAGCTCCTCTTAGGCTTAGAGGAGGGATGGTGTCCACTGGGCAGGAACAGGTGGGATACCTAAATCATAGGGGTTGTCCTTTGAGTGGCTTATACAGGACTCATTGTTTCAAGACCAGTTTTCTCTTCTGTATGGTGGTTATGGGGGAGGAAAGTGAAAACCTCACAGAACGGCAGGCTCTGCTCTTTGGTACAAAGGTCATACTAGTGCTGTGCAGGCAGCCCCAGTGAGTGTTCACAATGAGGGCAGGACAGTGAATGAATGAGGGCTTTCAAACTGCTTTTCCTTCTTTCTGAAATGCTTGTCCTGTTGTAGGCTTTGCTGCAGATGGTGTATGATGAGAGCCACCACATCCTGGCCCTATCCGAATACCATGGATACCCCAGTGCACTGAGCAAGGGCGAGCCAAGCGCCCCCATCAAGCGCTTCCTGAGGGGGGGCCAGGGCCTATTGGAGACAGTGCCCGCCCTGAGGGGGCATATGACCTCAACACCCCAACAGGGAGAGAAGGTACAGAGCTGTTTATGTAAGAGGAGAGAAACGGTGGTCTTGGACCAGTTTGAGGGAATTGTCTTGCCAGAGAAGCCGGAATAGGGAACAAGTGGTGGTCAGTGGCTGCAGGAAGACCATGCTCTTGACCAGCTACCCTCTCGCTCACATTCCTGGGCACCAGCTGCGTGCTCGCCTGTTCTGAGCCCTGCAGGGCAGCAGTGGCCTCCAGAAGGTGGATGTGGGGGCCGGGCCTGAGCCTACAGAGTATCAGTGTCTGACACGCAGTCAAGGAGCCAGGGTGGCCAGGAGAGGAGACAGTGTGGAGGTGAGGGCCAAATGTGAACCTCGTCCAAAGGGAGCCAACCTTCCGTGGGCTTTGGAGGAAGCAGTGAGCAGGACTCCAGGCTGGACCTGCAGGGGAGAGGGTCCCAGAGCAGGTGGCCTGCGGGTGCAATGCCCACACCCTGTGCAGTTGTGTGCACTGGTGCACACACACACCTGATGGCACTTCCGGCCTCAGGCCTACCCTACAGACCCAGGGCCTTGTGTTGGAAAAAGAGGTTTGCCTGCTGACTTTGCTTGACCTTATTTTCACATTGTCTTCAGTAGTTTCTTCTCAGCTGGGATGGCAGCATCAGCCTTTTGTGCCCTGGATGGTCCTGGGTGCTAATGTGTCTCCTCTCCTGGCAGGGTGGCTCCTGTTCTAACCTGCAGATGCATCCATGTAAACACCGAGCTTCTTGTTCCAGTTTCAGGAACCTGCTGATACCTGCCTTGACTGGAGAGGAGAATTCCTGCAGGTTGTCCAGGAGGCATTTGAAAAGGAGCGGGAGATGTTGACGATGGAGCTGCAGCCACAACTCTGTGGTGCTGGCCCCAGGGCCGATGGCGCCCTGGTGGAGAGGCTGCAGAAAGTGGTCCAGGAGCAGGTCAGCTTGGGCCTGGGTTACCTCAGAGCCTACCCCTGTTTCACCTGACCTGGGAGCATGCCAGTGCCTGAGGGAAGACCCTATTTCATACCAAGTGTAACACCGTGTGTTTCTGCATGAATTCTACAACGTGGAACGAAAGTCACATGTCCCTACCCTCCTATATACCTTACACTGTTCTAGAAATAACTGGCCTTTTTTGAAAGCAAAAACACTTCTAGGCCGCCCGGCCCCAAGTTGTGAGCACTGAGCTTATGGTTAGAGCTCGGGGGTGTCGGCACTATGAAAGCCTTGGGAGTCCTGTTGCCACCAGTTCCCTTGTAGGAGAGGGCATGAGTCCAGGCACAGGGTACATGGCAGGTCACAGTGGTCCCTGAGCACAGACCAGGCCTAGAGACTGGGACCAAGGTATGGGGGGCGGGGGCTCCCTCATGTCCTTGGAGACTGTTTATACCGGCAGCACTGGAGGCCTGAATGTGCAGACGGCGGGCTGATCCTGCCCGAAGCTGCCAACACTTGGGACACGCTCTCTCCTCATCCTGTTTCCCAATGTGGGTGGGCTCCCCCTCCCTGCAGAGCCTTCCTATCTGACTGCTGTCCCTCCTTTGCCCGGCTCCAGGGGGACCTGCAGGAGAAATCCTTGGAGCACCTACGTCAGTCCGACAGGAGTAGCTTGCTGTCCGAGATCCAGGCCCTGCGAGCCCAACTGCGGCTGACACACCTGCAAAACCAGGAGAAGCTGCAACAACTGTGTGCAGCACTGACCAGTGCGGAGGCCCGCGGGAGCCGGCAGGAGCACCAGCTGCGCCGGCAGGGTGGGTGCAGCAGCTCGGTTCCCTGCCCTGAGAAACATACCCACCTGAGGTTCACCTGGTGGGTGAGGTGGCACACAGATTAGCGAAGCCCCTTTGGACTCTTAAGAGCTAGATCTGGTGGCAGCAGTGACATCCGGGTTTCTTCAGGTCCCTGATTGCAGGGACTGTCAGCCTCATCATCAGAACACTGTGGCTGCAGATTTCTCGGTTCATAAAAACTCTGACTAAAAATAACACTGAGAGACCAGTCAGGACAAGAGGCTTTGCCAAGGGTCCCTGCAGGCGGTGAGGGGCCTGATGTCTGAGCAGGTGTGCTGGGCACCAGCAGGACCACATCTGGGAGAGTCCCTAGAGCTTTAACTGGGCTTAAGTTACTGTTGTAGCTTGTACATTTAGAGTCTTTGGGTTGGGTTTTTTTGTTTGTTTGTTTTTTAAGTAGACACTCGAATCACCTGTGAATAAAAAAACCTGTTAAAAAAAAAATCACCTGTTATTTTTCCCATCTACTCCCTTTTTTTGCTGACTATTGGTCAGGCCCTTTAGCAAGCCATCAATGGAGTGCCTGGCACTGTTCCTGGCTGCAAGGCAAGCACTCCATGTCTTACCCTTAAATAGGACATTAACACTGGTCCTCATAGATGCCCTCTGTCAGTTCTGGCAAATCCCTCCTCTTTCTAGGCTTGGAAGCTGAATGACCACCAGCCAAGTCTGTCTAGGGGAACAGCCTTACATCCTAGTTGTGACTTCTCATCATGGTACATTATCCTTCATACATTTCTGGGCTGGTTGTGCTCGTATTCTGCATTCATGAGGGATACTAGTCTGTAGTCTGGTTTTGGTATTGGAGTAATGCCAGCCTTATGAAGGATTGTTACACGTCCACTCCCCTACTGTTTTCCAGAGGCGTTTTTATAGAACTGGGTTTATTTCTTCCTTAAGTTTTGAGAGAATTGTCGAGTGAGGCCATCTGGGCTGGAGTTGCCTGTGTTGGGAGGCATTTAGCATAGGAATGGCAGTTGAGATGGCATTTTAGAATGACCACAGGGATGGTCACACTAGCTTTTCTGCATTAGGCAGGGTAGGCTCTGAGCAGCCACCCACATGCAGGTCCATTTTGCCTTAGCTCCAAACTCTGCCTCCTGGGAGAACCCAGATCTGAACTACAAGGGCAGAGAGGGCATGTGGACCACCCAGGGGAGCCACGTTGTGTTTACATGGCCTTCATGGCCCGTGTGAGTTATGCATGCTCTCTGCCCAAGAGTCTGTGGGTGCTCCCAGGCAGTGGGGCAAGCCCTGGTGCCATGCATGATAGGAGGAACCAGCAGCAGGCAGAAGGAATGTGTCCCTGAATGTCCTGGCTCCATCAGAAGCAGTGGTTTTTAAGTTGCAGAAACTTCATTCTCCCCATCCCCTTACTGGCTTATCTGTAATTAAATCATCTGCACAACTCTCTTTGGACTAATAAATAATGCTATTTCATGTTCTTTAATCTTTTAGTTGAGTTACTGGCATATAAGGTTGAGCAGGAAAAATGTATAGCAAGTGATCTACAAAAAACCCTCAGTGAAGAACAAGAGAAAGCAAATAACGTCCGAAAGCTGCTGGTGGTGGAGCAGAACACAGTCAAAACTTTGAAATCTGAGCTTTGTGAATGTAAACAGGACAACGAGAGGCTGCTGAAGTCCCTCAACGATGTACAGATGGAGGTTCTCCAACTGAGGTATGACACTGCCTTCGTGATGTGCAGCCGCTAGCCCCCAGGCTGTTGTCAGGCCTTTTGCTGAAGAATAAATGGAAATTATGTAGTTCCCACCACATCTTTCTTGGCAGTGAGGCAGCAGAGCCTGTGGTGCCGTGACTTGTATGGCGTGCTCAGGAGGTGTTGGGCAAAAGCACCCTGCTCCCCTGGGTTTAGTAGCAGGAAGGCGGGACTGAGCATGTGTGCAGATAGTGAGGAAGCAACAGGGCCTGCCTGCCTCATCCTAGAAGCCCTCAGCCCTTGACGGCTGGCCCCTGTCCCTTCAGAGCATTATGCAGTGTGGGGCATGACGGCCTCTTTCCTTGCACAGGTCCATACTGGACAGCAAGGAGAATGACCTGAAGGCCACACTTCAGGAGCTAGAGGACGAGCGTGCGAAGGAGCGTGCCCTGCAGAGCCGGCTGGAGCAGGAGCAGCTGCAGCACCTGCAGAGGGAAGGCCAGAACTCCAAGGCCTTGGAGGTGAGGGGACCGCCCTAGTCACCACACCAGCCAGGGATGGGAGCTGGGAGGCTGTTCTCTTTGATGTTGCCTTTATTCTTGTTGGGAACAGTGACCCCTGGTGACAGGGTTTTTGAGACAGCGAGGGAGGGCTGCATCTTTGGATAAAACACTCAACGTCTTTGCAGTGACTGTGTGATGACCGTTATGCTGGCACTGTGCCACTCACAGTCCCCACCATCTCTGGGAGCTTGCATCTGCAGGGCAAACACAGCCTCCTCGTTTTACTGGCCTTCATATGAGGCGCAGTCTCAGAAAACCATGTCAGCCAGATAAATGGCAGTGACCCAGCTCCTGTGCGTGATGCATGACGTGTGTGTGAATCGGTGCTTTGTTTGGCAGCTCAATGACCACATTTCCAGCAGGTGTTCTATAGTTCTGGGCAAACTGACTGTCAGTTCCCCAGTTAGAATGAAGCTGTCTTTCAGTAACACAGATCATGACTCAGCGCAAACTGTATCTGTGTGTCTTCTAGTGTCCTGGGTGTTTTGGTTCTAAGGAAGGGAAAACGAACCCAGGACACGTGTGTGCATTTACTCAAAAACATAACAAAAATTATTATACAGTTGAGCCTTGGAAAACATGGGTTTGAATTGCATGGGTCCACTTATGTCTGGATTCTTTCAGTTGACCACTGTTCATTTGACTGGGCACTTCAAACCTGCATTGTTTCAAGGATCATCTTTGCAGTTGGGAATTGGCATATGCAGAGGGCCAACTACAGTTACATTCAGATTCCTGACTTCAAGAGAGGTCAATGCCCCTAACGCACATGGTTAAGAGTCAGCTGCACATACTTCTTTCATCTACAGGGTAAATGTGTAATTGCTGTTCAAAGGATAGAAACAGAAACTTGGGCAAGAAAACTGTTTAGATACTCTCCTTCTGATTTAATTTTCTTATATTTTCCTTGTCCAGGAGTTAAGAATATCCTTGGAGAAGCAATACGCTCAGAATAATCAACTGTGTGTAGCTTTAAAACATGAGCAGACAGTGAAGGACAACCTTCAGAAGGAACTGCAGATTGAGTCCTCACGCTGTGAGGCGCTATTGGCACAGGAACGGAGTCGGGTCTCCAAGCTGCACTGGAACCTGGAGACTGCGCAGGGCCGCTCACTGGAGCTGTCCGAGGCCTTGCAGCATGAGCGCGTTTTGACAGAGCAGCTGAGCCGTCGGGCACAGGAGGCCTGTGCTCACCAGGAGACACAGGCGCACCGTGCTCTGCTGCGGAAGCTGAAGGATGAGACGGCCCGGGTGGCCGAGCTTCAGGCAGCGCTGGAGAAAGTGCAGCAGCACGCTGTGCAAGCCCAGCAGCAGCTGGAGGCTGAGGTGCAGAGGCGCTGTACAGAGCTCGAGAGAGAGAAGGAGGTGAGTGCCAGACAGAGGTCCACTGTGCAGGCCTTGCGGACCCCCAAACCAGAGCTGAGCTGTGATCGGGACAGGGAGAGGGAGAAGCCCACACGGCTGCAGGCAGAGTTAGAGCAGTTACACTCGAGGCCATCAGAGCAAGGATTCAAGAACGCACGGAGAAGAGTGGAGACGAGGCAGAACCGGGCAGACACGGACAAGAGGAAGAAGTGGCAGAGAGACAAGGAGAAACTGGTGAGAGCCACCCTTGGCCGATGTCAGCACTTAGCAGTCAAGTTGGTAGGGTTAGGTCAACCCACAGGATGGGGGCCAGGGGGCGGGTTATTCTGGTCCCTTGTGTTCAGCTAGCCTATGTGGTCCTATTCTGGAAGCAGTGACTGACTACTGCAGCTCTATGACAGGGTTGGAAATCAGAAGTGCACACCCTTTTAGTTCGTACTTTTTCATGGTTGGTTGTATGTGAGGGGCCCTGGCAGTTCCATGTACGTTGGAGGATTGGCTTTTTTGTTTCTGTAAAAAAGTCCATTGGGATTTTACCGACTCTTGCTCTGTAGATTGCTTTGAGAAGTATTGTCACCGATGTTCGGTCTTCCCACTCGCGAAATTAGAAGGTCTTTCCATTTATTTAGGTCTTCTTTAACTTCTTTCAATAACGTTTTGTAACTTTCAGGTGAAAAGCTTTGCAGTTTTGTTAAATTTATTCCTGAGTATGTTGTTTTTGTTGCTGCTGTAAATAGAATTATTTTCTTAGCTTTACTTCAGACTGTTCATTGCTGGTGTACAGCAGTCCAGTTGACTTTTTTGTATCTTGATCTTGTGTCCCTCAACCTAGCTGCACTTGTTCATTAGTTCCAGTATTTTTTAATGGCTTCTTTGGGATTTTTCACATACAAGATCATGTCATCTACACATAAACATTTTATTTCCTCCTTTTCTATTTGGTGTCTTTATTTCCTCTTTCTGCCTGACTGTCCTGGCCAGAACTTATTGCAGCATTGATGGAAGTGGTGAGGGGACACTGTACCTTCTTCCTGATTGTAGGGCAAGCAGGCAGTCTTGACCTTTAAGTACAATGGGAGCTATGGGATTTTTGACATGCCCTTTATCCAAGGAAGTTCTCTTTTATTCCCAATTTTTTCAGTCTTTATTATTTTTAATCATGAGAGTATTGGATGTGCTTTTTCAGTGTCTTTTGAGATCTATTTTTTACTTTATTGATACGGTGTATTACGTTGATTTTAATATGTCAAGCCATCCTTGCATTCCTTGGGATGAATCCCACTTGATATTGGTGTATTATTCTTTTCATTATGGGGCTGGGTTCAGTTTGTTAGTGGTTTTTTTTTTTTTTTTTTTTTTTTTGCTAAGGATTTTGCATCTATGTGCAGTAGGGACATTGCTCTGCTGTTCCTTTGTGGCATCTTTGGTTTTGATGTCGGGATGAGTTGTACCTCACAGGATGAGCTGGGAAGTGTTCCCTCTTTTATTTTTCTGATGGGCCTTAATTTTAGATACATTTTTTATCAACCAAAAGTCTTTGTTTCTGAGGAAATTATGTCCTCTGTTGAGTCATGGATTGACATTTATTTTGACCTCTTTAAAATAATTTTTTAAATGCATAATCGAAACTAAAGGTCTTTTCAGTGGTTAACTTGCCATGAAATAGTTGAGAAATGGGTATGTGTTTATAAAGACAAAACCCTAGGTTTCTAAACATTACAAGGATAAATCATGGTCTAAATTCTATAAAATTAGTTTCAGAAGTTAATATGAGGGAAGTGATTAATGTTTTTAACAGCTTTACTGAGATACAATTTATATACCATTGAGTTCACCAACATAAATGTCACAGTTCTATGGTTTTTGGTATTTTCAAAGAGTTGTGCAACTCATCACAACAGTTTTAAAACATGCTCATCACTCCAACATGGAACCTCATCTCCGTGAGCACTCACTCCCCATTTCCCCGTCCCAGCCCCTGGCAACCACTGATCTACTTTCCTACTGCCTCTAGATTTGCTGTCAACGGAATCATACAATTAGTGCCTTTTGCGTATGGCTTCTTTCATGATGTTTTCAAGGTTCATCAGTGTTGTAGTGTGTGTCAGTATGATTAATATTTTTTGCTGTGTTAAAACTTTAAAATAGGTGTAATGCTTTGTCGCCAGATGTCTTGGAAAGTGGAGCAGTTTGGAGGTGTGGCAGTGCGGCCAGGAGGCATCCCCAGTTTTGTGGAGGGGAATGGAATTAAGCCCTTGGGTGGGCCGTGGTGACTCAGGACCCCCAGAATGCATTCATGATTTGGGGTGTCAGTGTGTGTTGGCCTTTTTCCCTCTGGGAAAAGGGGTCTGTAGCCTTCATGTGCTCTCAGATGACTGCCAAACCACATACGAAGTTTTCAGCCAAAGTTTTTTTTTAATTTTGTTTAATTAAAGTTTTATTTAATTTTGATACTTTTCTTGCAAAACTGAGTGTAACATGATGACTTAAAAGACCTAATTACAAAGAAATGTAACTGTTCTTTGTGGCGCACTGAAAGGGTGGGCCTATAAACCCCATACCTCACGGCCTTGGCCTGTGGGCTCTCCCTGTCCAGGGGCTGTGCAGCTGGAGGCTTGGGTTGGGTTCTGCGCTCCAGAGGTTCTGTCCCCAGCCTGGCAGACTTGTCTGCCCATCTCCCCACAGACTTTTCTTCTCCACGAGGAGACCCTTCTACCTTGCACCCTTTGGCCCACTGCCTCTGTTCACTCTGGTTGCCACCCGAGGGGTTAGCCCCTTTCCCTGCAGAGACGGAGGTCCTGTGTGCTGGGCAGGGAGCGCATCCTTGCTGACTGATTTCTCCTGGCACCTCGGTAGAGGGCGTTATGCCAGTGGCAGGTTTTCTGCCTCATGAGGCCCCGTGGGGCCCCCAGCATCATGGTGTGCACACATGTGCATGTTCTGTGTGTGCATGTGTGTTTGCACAACTGCTCGTGTGTATACTCACATGTATGTTGAGAGTTGGGGGCCAGAACTTGGGCCTGCAAGGCTTCATCTGCATGCGTCAGTGTCCCAGCCCCTCTTCTGTGTCCCCATGCTTACCGCGGGCCTGTGAAAGCCTGGCTGTTCTCAGAAATAAGCACAAAACCTCAGATTGGGCTGTCTCTGAGGCAGGAGCTGTCCTGACCCCACGTCACATGCGGAGCACCCACTGTGGAAGTCTTGTTGGGGGTGGTGTGCAGGGCAAGGCTTCTGGAATGTGTGTGATAGTCTTTTCTGCTCTGCGTTGAAAACAGAGAGAATTAGAATTGCAGCGCCAGCGCCACGAACACAAGATCAAGCAGCTTCAGCGGAAGATAAGGGAGCTGGAGGCCAGGGAGGTGGCACGCCTGTCCCCAGAGTCGGAGCATCTCCGAGAGCAGCAGCAGGGCCTGGAGACAGTTCGGCAGCAGCTTCTCTGTACAGCAGGGCTGCTGACCAACTTCATCAGCCAGACTGTAGACAGGTCAGTGATGGAGAACCAGTGAGTTCTTTGTGACCCTGCACCTTTCATGTAAAGAACAATTCTGAAGCTTTGGGCACATCTGCAATTTCAGATCCATATTTCAATGAAACTGACTCGCTATTTCTTGTCCCACATGTTTGGCTGAGTTAGGGGCAGAACTCTTTCACATTCTAATATGATAGAAAAAATCCAAGTTTCTCTTAGATTGGTTTTCCCACCCCCACCCCCCCTTCCTAATTGGTTCACCATCTAAGAGGGTCCAGGCCCGATGCCGCCCCCACCTGAGCTTGCCATGCTCGGCAGTGCTGGTGTCTGCTCTGCCTGATCCAAGGCTCTGGGGCTGCCATTCATGCAACCAGAATACATTTCATGGGTGAGGAGCTGAGACAGGTGTTTTGTTTAAACAGAATAATTAATATTGACATTTGCCCTTTTCTGTATGCATAGAAACTAAGCAAACACAGTTCTCCTGTCTATGGTTGGGTTTAATTTATAGAGCTGCAAAGATTTGTTTAGGAGCACTTCTAATAGCCGACACAATCCCAGTAGAAAAGAGCAGGAGGCAAAAATGCTGAAGGAGCGTTAGTGGTTAGTGGCCAGAGGTTTCTGAGCTTTGTATACTATTAACCCCAGAGGTGCTCCCAGCAGCCACCTCCGTGGCCAGAACACGGCTTTTTGGAGTGCTCAGCAAGCCTGTTGATGGTGGTTTGCACAAGGTCCTCCCAAGACCCGGGTGCTTACAAGCTCGTCCTCAGCGTAGTGTCCAGCATGGCATTGGGTGATGGGCAGTTGGAATCCATGTGAACCTTTTAAATGTTCATTTATTTTTACAGGACACTTAATGATTGGACCTCATCAAATGAGAAAGCAGTGACACATTTATTGCGGACGTTAGAGGACCTCAAGTCCAAGCTGAGCACATCTAACTTTTCCCAGGTAAGAATCCAGGTCCTCCAGGTGAGAGACCAGTGGCCCCAGCCTGGCTCCTCTGGCCACGTGTGGCCTGGTTTCTTTTTTTATTGTGACTTGTTGTTTCTCCCTCATTGCTTCCTTCTCTGTTTCAAAGTTTGCAGTCTGAATGAGCGACAAGTACCCCTTCTCACTTCTGGGAGGCACTGGGCGCTCACTGCGCTTTCTCTGGTGCATCCCAGCCTGGTGGGTTGTGGTACTACAGCCCAGCTTGCTCCTTGAGCACTTCTGTTGAGAGCCTGTATGATTTGGACCCCCTAGGCTGCCAGGGAAGCACTGCCCTCCCCATCAGCTGTGTCTGTAGTCATATGAAGTTGCTGATACGAAATTTCTAATGCATGTTCTCTGATAATTATGAAATCATGATGTTTATCTGAAAGCAATGTACATGTTGTGATCATCTTTGACCTGCTCACCCTCTTATCTGCTCAGCCTCTGACCCATCCTCCCCCTAAACTGATCACTGGGCATAGTTAGTAGGTGGGTGCGGGGCATCCTTGCCCTCCCATCTGTTGTGCACCATGCCTTCCTCAGTGTCCCACACCCTCTACAGGCGGAGGGTTCCTCTGATTATGAGAATGACGAGCCTGTTTTAAGGGACTTACTCATTGGGCCTGGGGATGGGCACATGATGTTCCCTGGTCACCTTGGGTGCTGCTCGTTTGTGGTGTTATCAGCAGACAAAGAGCGTTGTATCTGTGACAGGCCTACTTTGTTCATACAGACCAGTTTTGTACCAAGCCTGTTTCATAGAAGATTGGAAAGAAATATGATCTGAAAACTCTTTTTGTTTCCTGTCCCACAGATGGACAACTCTTCCCAGCCCCACAAGCTTCCTGTGGAACCTAAGAACATTTAAAATGATAATGCCTAAAAATAACCAACAGTAAAAAACACAAGTAGTGTGCATGCCTTTTCAGAAAATATTTTGTGCATTTATTTTTGCTTTCTTCTCAGAAAAAAATGACAGCAGAGGTACAGGTCCAGCTGGTGGACGTGTTGCTAAAAGAAAACGATTCCCTCACCCAAGCTCTCAATGCCATGACCCAGGAGAAGGCAGAGCTGTGCAGGGCCACGTCCCGGCTGGAGAAGACGCTCAAGCACCACCTGCTGAAGGGCTGCGCTCTCAGTGTATGTTACGCACAGTCCTGCATGGGTGCGGGGGGGTGAAGTGAGCTGGGCTTCCTTCATGGCTGACCACCCAGGGGAAACGTCATTTCTTCCTAGTTAGCCACTCTGGGCGCCTTCCTCCCTAATGGCCAGAGTATATTATTTAACATTTTAGTGAATTATCTGCCTTGTTCACAGACATGGACACATGCACACAAGCTGTCACATGGCCCTTCCCATGAGATGGTGTTTGATACATGTTCATGAAAGAAAATTTTGACTGTAATAAATAAGTGGGTAAAATTAGAATTTTATTAGACTTTTACCTAATGAAAATAACTTACAATTTTCCTGATTTATGTAGTTGGATAGACTTCTTTTGAAATGACTGATTTTTTCTTATATTTTAGGTGGTTTTTGCTTGTGATTTGCTCTAGCTTTTTTATAATGGAACATTTTTATAAATTATTTTTAATTTATATGTGGTAAAATCTGCCCCTTGTTGGTGTGATGTCACTTGGGGTTTTTTTTAGAGGTTTATTTATTTTTAGAGAGAGGGAGGGAGAGAGACATCAATGTATAAGAGAAACATCAATCTGTTGCCTCTCACATGCCCCCAACCAGGCACCTGGCCAGCAACCCAGGTCTGGGAATCCAGTCAGCGATCATTCACTTTGCGTGACAGCACCCAACCCACTGAGCCACTCTGGTCAGGGCTCACTTGAGTTTTATGTGTACGTAGACCCAGGGCTCTCTTGACTGCCCCCTTCCCTGTGACTTTCTTTCCCTGGAAGTCATGTGAGTTGGAACCATAGCATGTAACCTTTGAAAGCTCCTCACTTCCTTCATGGTGCATTTGAGGTCCATCTGGGTATCAATTTCAATAGTTTGTTTCTCCCTACTGCCAAGCTGCATTCAGGGCATGGATGGGCTTCGATTCAGCCATTCGCCTGCTGAAGGATATCTGGGTTTCCAGTTTCTGACTGTTGCGAATAATGCTCCTATAAACACTGTGTACAGGCTTGAGTGTGGACATAAGTTTTATCTCTCTGTATAAATGCCCACAGGTGGGATTGCCGCATCTTACGGAGAGTTTATGTTTACCTTCTGTATTAATGAAGCCACAGTATTGTCCAGGATGGCTGCTCATTGTGAGCATCGCAGTTACTCTGCATTTTAACACTTGGTTTCCTTTAGCAGCCTAGTGGGTGTGCGGTGGCACCTGTGTATATTGTTTGGTTGAAGTCTTGGCTTCTTAACTTAGATTGTTTGTTTTCTTGTTGCCTTGAGAACTCTTTCTACATTCTAGATAAAACATCTCTGCTAGAATGTGATTTGCTAACATTTTTTCCAGCTCTGCTGTCTTCTCTGTATAGTATCCTTTGTGAAACAAAGCTTTTCATTTTCATGAAGTTCTATGTATGTATTAATTTGTTCTTTCATGGATCATACCAAGAGTTTTATAGTTTTACTTTTTTACTTTGAAGCCTACAGTCTACTTGGAGTTAATTTTTGTTTATAGTCTGAGAGATAGGTGGGGGATTATTTTTACTCATGTTATTGTTATTCTGGCATACTTTGTTGAAATGATTGTTCTTTCTTCTTGAATTGTCTTTGTATCTGTGTCAAAAGCCAGTGAACAATTCTTGTGTATATGTGTCTGGACTCTCTTCTGTTCCACTGCTTCGTATGTCTGTCCTTTACCAGCTGTCTATAGGTTTATGTTGTTATTATGCCCTCATGGTACGTAGTGGGAATGCTCTAGCTTTTACTTTTTTTTTCCAAATTATTTAGTTATTCTAGTTCCTCTGTCCTTCAATATAAACCTTAGAATCTTGCTGGCTATTTTGATTGGGATCGTTTTAAATCTATAGATCAGTTTTTGGGGGGGGGGTGTGGCGCAGAATGGAAAGGCAAAATGGTACAGCCACTTTGGAAAACAGTCTGGTTGTTTTCAGAATAGATAGAGCTACTATCTTATCCAGCAATTCTCCTTCTATGTATTTACCCAGGAGAAGTGAAAATGTATGTCCCTGTAAAACTTGTACACAAAATTTCCTATCATCATTATTCATCATAGCTCAAAAGTAGAAATAACCCAACTGTTCACTAATGGATGAATGGATAAATAATACCTGGTATACCTGTAAATGGAATATTATTCAGCAATAAAAAGGATTAAAGGACTGTGATACACATTATGTAGTATTGGTGAGGCTTGAAAATGTTTTTATTAATGTAAGAAACCAGTCACAAAAGACTATATATTGTCCATTAATGTAAAATATTCAGGAAAGGCACATCTGTTGAGATAGAAAATAGACTAGTGGTTGTCAGGGGCTGGGAGGGGGGAGGGAGAGTGACTGCCAACGGGGCAGGGCTTTGCGGGGGCGACAAGTGTTCTCAGGTTAGATAGTGTAGTGGTTGCACAACCTTGTAAGTGCACTGAGTGTCAGTTGAATTGTGTACTTTAAAAGGATAAATTTTACGTTATGTGAATTATTATCTTAGTGAAGGTACTATAAAAAATTTGGGCAAAAATTGACATCTCACGTGTATTAAACCTTCCTGTCCCTGAACTTGGCGTGTTTCTCCATGTATTTAGATTAAAAAAAATTTTTTTTCTTAAATGCATGTAGCTGTCAGATTTATGTCTAAATCTTTCATTTTTCAGTGGGCTGTTGTAAATGGTACTTTTTAAACATTTTGTTTCTCGTTGTTCATGGCTCATGTTTGGAAACGTTACTGATGTTTGTAGGATGGCCTGTGACCTACAACCTCAGTAGCTTCACTTTAGCCCTATGAGGCTTTCTCTGGGGTTTTATACAGAATAGGGAGGTTTATTCCTTCTTTCCAATTTGAATACTTTGGTTTCTTTCTCTCACCTGTTTGGCCAGGACCTCCAGCTGTTCCATCAGGGGTGGAGCCTAAGTCTCTCCATGAGGGCCCATGCAGGTGCTTTTGTGGGTGCCCTTGGCAGTTTGAGGAAGTCCTCTTCTGTTCCTAGTTTGCTGAGACTTTTTGTCATGAGTGGATATTGCAATTTGTTGTACTCTCTTGCATCTGTTGATATGATGTTGTGGGGTTTTTTTGTTAAGTCTTTTAATATGGTGGATCATATCTATTTTGAATGCTGACTCTACCTTGTCCCAGGAAAAAACACCACCTCATGACGTAGTATTCTTTTTTAGACATTGCCTGATTCATTTTGCTGATTATTCAGCATTTTTATATCTGGGCTCATAAGGAATACTAATGTGAAGTTTTTTGTATTGTCTCTGTCCGGTTTTGGCCTCATAAAACAAGTTAGGATGTGTTCCCTCATCTTCTGTTTTCTGAAAGAGATTATGTAGAGCTGATGTGTCTTTCTTAAGTTTGTGTTAAAATGCAGCAGTGAAACCATCTGGGCCAAGTGTTTCCCTTTTTGGAAGGTTTTTAATGATGGCTTTGATGTTTCTCGTGTTGTCGGGAGGAATGTCCTGTAAAGGTCAGCTAGAACCAGGTGGTTAATGGGGTTCAAGTCTTCTGTGACCCAGCTGAGCTTCATTCTGCTTGTGCATCACTGATGGGCGTGTCGACATCTTTGACGAGGACTGTGGGTTTGTCAGTTTAGAAACTCTGTTAAGTAAAGGCGAAGGAAACTTTGTCCCTATAGAGTTGGGTCCAACCACCAAGTGGACCCATGACGTACACTCTCTGATGGATGAGTTACAACGGCTCCGAGTTTTAATTTTGACAAAGTCTGCCGTTAGTGTCACTGCACTGCCCCGTCTGCTTCTGTGGAACTTGCTCAGTGTTTTGAGGGTCCATGTTTAGGACACCTCGTTGGGCCTGTGTGGACTAAAATGCAGTCACCAGCAGAATGCTTTTATCCTTTTTGAAAGTTAACAAAGAAACTAGGAAGTGACTGTCCTTGATGAGAAAATCAAAGGTAGACCGAAAGCAAATGTTGGAATATTCTCCTTCATGTCCAAGGTAACTTGTGTTCCTAGAACATTTTTTCTAGGAATGACCCAGCTGTGTTTTAGAACCAGGAAAACCATTGGTATTTCCTGCCTCACGGGGCGTCCCACTCCCAGGCCTGCCCTCCTCTCAGTCCTGCCCTGCAGTGGTGGGAGGCATGACCAGGCTGCCTTTGATTCCTCTTCCAAGCTGCTGGGCAGAAGCCAGTGACCACGTGGCCCCGGGAGTCCTTCACGCTCTCTTTTGCCTCAGTGACAGGTGGGCCCTGGTTGTCTGTTGTGGGTGGCCCCTTTGTTCCCCTCACTGTGGAATCCCTCTCCTTCTGTTCGCGTGTTCCCTATTGGAGCTCTGGGGGCGCACGTCCCTCGGCATGAATGGCTCCTGTGCAGGGCCCTTGCTGAGGCTTTCATGTGTGATTTGATGCTGCTAGAGCAGAACTAATTCTGTGCATCTTCTTGCAGTTAGCATTTCTAGGACCAGAAAATATGAGGATTTTCAATGTGCTTAAAGCTTTGAATTTGGCATTATTTTTCAGCCAAAATCAGCAGTTAGAGAAGCAGTTCTAGCAGGGCAAACTTCTTGCATGATTTTCTCTTTTTAATAAAAATGTAACTATAATGCAGTCATAGTTTGGTGAGTGACATGTAATAATCACCCCATGATATTAATTATCTGGTTGATGATGTCACCTAACAACTTGAATACCACTGAAATGATACTGAAGAGAGACACAGGTGTGACCCGTATCCTGGCATCGGGAAGACCTGCACTCAGCCTCGTGTGGGCCCAGGTCCTCCCCACCCACGGCGGGCCTCGCCCTGCGGAGGCCCCGGGGGAACAGCCAGGAAGGAGTGAGGTGTTTGGAAATGACTTCTCTCTGCAGTTGGGGTAGGGAGAGGTCATTTTCTCAAGATGTTTCTACATGAGAACAGCTCTATGGACCCGCTCTCTATGGTTGTTGCAGAGGTCAGACAGGTCATCCTGGAGGCGGGACAGGGCGGTCCCGCAGAGCTCACCAGGACTTCCAGACCAAGGACTGCCTGCGCCAGCTTCCAGGGAGGAAGCAAACACCAGCAATGGCAAGGTGAGACCATGGCCGTGGTGGCATGAGGGCATCAGGTGGGGGCGCAGCCCTTGGTTCGTTTTTAAGACTTTTTATCTTTAGAGTAATTTTGTTTCACAGCAAAGTTGAGGGGAAGGTACAGAGAGTTCTCATATGCCCCCTGCTCTCCACTGTCAACGTTCCCACCCGATGGGGCCACTGTTACAGCCTGTGAACCTGCATTGATGAGGCCGTCATCACCCGCAGCCCGCAGGTGAATCAGGCCCTGTCCCGGTGGTGTGCATTCTTTGGGTTTGGACACACGTGCTCACCGTTACAGTATTTCATGGGCTAGTTTCACCGCCTGAAACTTTGTCTGTGCTCTGCCTCTTTATCCCCCACCCCCCTAGGGGATGCATTTTTTAAATCCTGATTTCTTAACTAATAAAAGCAGCTCATGGCTGAGAGGTGCCCCTCTGCCATCAAATGTGTCTGTTCACAGTAAGAAGATCACATGCTGCTTCTAGTGGCCAAATCATGTCAAATAAGGAAAATTAAAGAGAATGAACTTTCATTTGAAATTTGGTCTAGTTCTGTAAAGACATCTCATTTCTGTGTTTGTGAATAGGGGTGAAGCATGTGGTGCTTTGAGTCATTATGTAATAGTCTCCGCAGCCTGAAAAAGGTCCTAGACCAAGCAATTCACTTGTCGTTTTTACAACATGGAACAAGTGATAGGTCCTCTCCTGAAGGAAAAATTTATATTAGGATATGGGCACCGAGCTCTGGGTGCACTTTCAGGGGCCCCTCCAGCCTTCCCCACACGACAACGTCCATGAACTCATAACGGAACTCCCCACCCTGCCCCAGTTTGGGTCTGACTTGGTAGTCAGGTTCATGGTGCTTTCCCGGAGGCGGCTTCAATGCTGCAGAAAGGACATGTGGCCTGTGCTTTGTCTAATAAACAAGACTGAACTTTCAACAGCAAGTTGTTCGCAGTACACATTTTGTGCAGGGCTGACTTTTGGGATGATTTGCTAAGGAAGAAGCGGTCTGTTTCTTTTTAAAGCACAACAGTGCAAACGTGTTTTACAGATTTGTGAGTGTGACATCTTTTTTCTAAGATTAAGTTTTACAATTTTTTTTTAGATGGAAAAATTGTACCTGCATTATTTGAGAGCGGAGAGCTTTAGAAAAGCTCTGATTTATCAAAAGAAGTATCTTTTACTGTTGATCGGTGGATTCCAGGACTCTGAACAAGAGACGCTTTCCATGATCGCGCACCTAGGAGTGTTTCCTTCCAAAGCAGATAAGAAAATCACCACCTCCCGGCCTTTCACCAGGTTCCGAACAGCTGTCAGGGTGGTGATTGCCATTTCAAGGTAACGGGAGGTGCACTGCAGCGGCTTTGGGTGCTTTAGTCTCAGACGCTCTGCAGTTGTATTTTTTTAAGATGAATGACTTGAGGGCCTAAAATATAGGTGACACTTGTCTTCAGGAAACCATGGTGTACAAAACTGTCACCTTCCAAAAGGAAAAGATATAAGGCTGCCTTTTTTTAATCACAAAACAACATCTTGCCCCTTAATGGGTCTCTTGCCAGGGTTACTTCAGGGTTACAGGCATGTCTGATCAAGTTTAAAACTGCATTTCACTTCTTCAAACTTCAGTTTCCTACATTTTAGTCAAATTTGTGTTACAGTAGAGGGGCATAAGTATACATACGTGATCCACGCAGGGTAGTGGCCATTATGGCACAGGCACCTTCCCAGTCTTTGCCTGTGGGGAGGGGAGGAAGAGCCTGCTGCAGGGTGCAAGAGGGTCCCCATCCCTCCCCCTCTGCTGTGTCCACCTGCCCCAGCCCTGTCCACCCCCCTGCCAGAGGCATTGCTCATTCTCCCCAGCCACTCTATCCACACGGTATCATTGGAGCAGGGAGGTGACTCCCAGGTGTGACTGGGAATTTTGATCATTTCAAAGTTAAGAGTGATGAAGTCCATTTTACTTTATAATGTTAAATTTTGCTGAAGTTCTAAAAATGTCCCACTAAGAATTGTGCAGCTGTGTCTGCTCCGTGGCTCCTGCGGAGGTGCCCTTTCTGGGCCACGCCGGTCTTTGTGGGATAGACTGCTTTTGTTCCCTTGGCTTTCTCCAGGCCGTGCTGTAGAGGGGAGGGGAGTCCCACTCAGGGAGTCCCCAGTGGCATGGGGAGGCCTTCTCCAGCCTCCGGGCACCTAGCCCCTCGCCTGAGTTCTGACCACAGCGGTCCTCCCATCCACCCACCCAGCACCCTGCCTGCCCTGTGCTCTTGGAGAAGATAGCTACCCTGTACCAGAAGTGGGGTAGACGCTGGGTGGAGATGGGTAAAAAGACCCAAACTCCCCTCCAGCCTTCCGGTCAGGAGGGAGGATCATCGAAGCACAGCAGCATTTTAAACATGAACTGCCTTGGAGGAGGGCAGGGCTCAGAGAGGCATCGGTGCCCAGGGCGGCTACCTTGTAGGGACGTTGGGTGGAGGACCAGAGCCTGGGACCTCCTGCACCACCACACGCCTATCACCCTAGCACTCTGCTCACTGGCTTGTGGCCTTGGTAGTGGAAGGGAGCAGGGTGTTGCAGACTGATTTTGAACTGGAGTCTAGGAGACCCCAAGCTGGGTATCTGGGAGTGGGCAGGCTCAGGGCTGGATGCAACTAGGAGTGGTCTAGGCCAAGTGTGGGCGGGGCTGGGGCAAGGGCACTGGGAATGGACGGGGGGCTGGGTCGGGGCTGGGTCGGGGCTGGGCCTGGGCTGGACCAGGGCTGGGAGTGGGCGGGTTAGGGGCCCTGTGAGCAGGCTACCCTGTCTGGTGCAGGACCTGCTGCCAGGGTGGGTGGGCCGCCAAAACCCTTCCAGCCACTGGTCACATCTGAATTTTCATTGCTTTTCTCACTGCTGTTTTGCTCTAGTTTTCAGGGTTTTGTGCCTTTTTTCCTTTTTTTTTTTTTTTTTTTTTTTTTTGTAGATTACGTTTCTTGGTTAAGAAATGGCAAGAAGTAGATCGGAAAGGAGCTTTGGTGCAAGGCCGAGCACCCCGCACAGGTGGGCCTATGGGGACCCCTCCACCTTGACTTCGCAAACTTGGCTTCCACTTGCTATCGCATTTCATTAGCATCTGGTTGTTTTCAGGGCTTGGTGGGGATGGAAGGAAGCACAGTAAGAAATGGGTAAATTCAGTCAGTGCAGTCATCAGAGGTGAAATGATTTTTTGAAAGAAAATGGTTTTTATGTTGGGAACAAGGACAAATAAAACCATGGTTAATATAGTTAATGAGTAAAAGTGGTTCATAAGAGCATAATGATTGAAAACTATGGAAGTGATGAATATATCGACTAATTACTTATTGTTAATAAAAAGGTCGTTTTTATTCTCCAAAATGAAGCAGAGTCCTTCAGCCTGCCGCGTCTTTGCTCCAAGAGCGCTGGTGCGTGCTTTCTCAGTCGCGGCTTGTGTCTGCGGCTCTGCGCTGCTGCCCACACTGGCAGGATGCGCACTGGTCGTCAAGGCAGGCCTTTTGGCAGGTCACACTGCCCTGGGAAACTTTGACAAAGAACTTCCTCCCACTCAGCACAAGGAGGCAGCCCAGCTCGCAGCCTGGAGAGGTGGCAGAAATTGATGCCATTCAGTCAGCTTTGATTTCCGTTGTGTTTATTGTTACTTCTTGAAATCAAGGAGCCTGGTCAGCCTTCATGGAAGGTTTCCTCCTTCCGAGGCACACCTGGTGGTCTCCAGGGTTTCTGCCCTTGCGTCTTGAGCTCACTCCTCCCTTGGGTGGAGGAGAGCCGCCACCGCAGGCTCCTCAGTGCCCTGCTGGCCCCGTCTGGCACTGAGCGCCTCTCCTGGGCTGCTGCCCACACGATGCTGGGGGTCAGGGTATAAGGTGATTAAAACACAGGTTTCTTCCAGAGCTTTTTAAATGATAATTTTTATAACTTGGGTACTTTAAAAATGTTTTGAGATTACCGTGCAGACTCTTACAGCTTATAAATACTAAATTTTAGATGGACCTTCCTACTAAAATGCATTTGTCATTTTTCCTAATCTCCCTGTTGAATAATTCTGGAGGAAGGAATCTCAGTGTCACGGCAACAGTTGACCCCACCGGAAACCAGTGAGTCCCTACCTGAAACCAGTGAATCCCCCCCTGAAAGCAGCAAATCCCCACCAACCCGGGACGTGTCTTCCAGCCACACAAGGGACTCCGTGCCAAAAGCCTCCCCACGCAGGAGGGAAAGGTGAGATGTGGTGCTTTCAAACTGCTTTTCCTCTGTAATGCTTAGATGGAACCCGGTCTGCAGAGACAAGCGCCCACACATGGTGTCTTTAGGCAGATTTGTATGGGTGCTCAGGTCTGTGTGTGCCCCTGTGTAGGGGTTTACATGTGCATGAGAATCCTCCTACACGCAGACACAGAAACACACACACATCTGCAAGGCCTTGGCTGGCTTCACTCAATCTTTTTTCTGTAGGATTTGGGTTTATTGTCCCCATAATGTATCTTTATGTTTACTAATCAGGTGGCAATTGAGATGTTACATTGACAATGTAAAAGATAAATTATGTGGGAAAAAAACCTTTTCAATTAAATAATTAAGACAACTTGCCCTGTCCAGGTGCCTCAGTTGGAGCATTATCCCATACACCGAAAGGTTGCAGATTTGATCCCTGGTCAGCGCACATGCCTAGGTTACGGGTTCAGTCCCCAGTTGGGCCACATACAGGAGGCAACTGATTGATGTTTCTCTCCCTACCGCCACCCCCACCTGCCGTCTCTAAAATAAATAAAAACACACCTGCAGGTGAGAGTTTTAAAGAAAAGATTAGTGTGAAAAAGCTTTCCCTAATGACTGTGATGCTTTGAGCAGCAATTGAATGTACTTGTCACATGCTGAGGCCCTGTGTTCGAATGTAATGTGATCTGGTCGTTCCTGTCATAAGAGGGTGTGGTAAATCTTAATTACCTTCATCACAAGTTACACCCCATTTTCCTGACCACAAGATTTCTCACCTAAATGTTACTCATGAAGGATGGAATTTACATTTTTATTTCTTCAGGTTGAACCATGTAAATAATCTATTAAAAATAGTGTTCCCCATTCGAATGCTGGAATGAGGAATTCCAGACTATGAGTCATTTACTTAACTGTTTCAACCATGACTTTTCTAATATTTGGAACGCACCCTCAGAGCATATAGAAAAGTTCAGTTTGTGTTTCTGTGGATGTTTGCACACACATTAAAAATCGTGCGGGTGTGCCCTCTCTTCTCTCTGGATGTGCTTTCCCCTGTTCTAAAATGAGCACGCTTTACTCTTATCAGAGCCAAGCAGATCATCCCTGGTGCTGTCAGGAGATGAAGTGCCCTCATTTGCTCTTTTGCGCTGTGCCTCGGGCGATGACATCTCTCTTCAAGCTGTATTTCATGCGGTGATGAACTCTAGTGTAACTGTCCTGATCATTGACACAATACACATAAGTGTCAGGCACTACTGTGCATCCAGCTCTGATCACCTCTGCTGTGTTCCACTGGCACATGTGGTTCCTCAAAGAAACAGATTTTGAAAATTCAGCTTTAGCGGGGCCCCAGACCAAGGCAGGGAGCACACCCCCATAATCTCTGAGAGTCTGAGAGCCCTGGTTTGCTCAGGGACGCCAGGGGCTCTGGGCTGCGGCGCCCCAGTGCACAGGCTGGTAATATTTAGTGAGAGAATAGCCAGTGGCCATGGCATCTTTGTGGATGACAAGGTAACGAGGAGTGACATAGCAGATGTCCCTGGTCCCGGGGGAGACCAGGAAGAAAGGCAGCCAACACACCCATGTCGACGAGGATCAGGGCGCAGATGTGTGGGTCTGAGGCGTGGCGATACATAATCCACAAAGATTTAGTAAGTAGAATAATATGCAATAGTTTTTACTCATTGTAACTCTGAGATGTTACAAGCACTATGTATCACTTTTTAAAAAGCCTTTTTTTTCTTTTGTAAAGAAAAGATACAAAGGAAACAGCCATCTAATTCACCCCATTTCCCACATGTCCAGCCAGAGGGCCCAACACCACTACCTGTCTGTGTGCTCGTCTGTTGCGTTTAACTCTTTTTTTGTTTGTTTGTTTCTGCGTTTTTTTGAATGAAGGTCCAATCCATCTCCAAATTCAAGATCCCTGACTGCATCTCAAGATCCAGAACATTCTTTGACGGAATTTATTCACCATTTAGAAATGATCCAGCAAAGACTGGGAGGGGTACCACCAGGTAAAAGTCCTTCTCTAATTTTTAAAATTATATAAACATACACTAGGAATGGAAAATAACGTGGGAAAGACTTCAGCTTAGTAATTGTTAGTTTCAGTCCTAATAATTAGCTGTGATGAACAGTATCAAAAGAATGACTATAAATGAAACAGTGTACTTAATCGAGAAGTGTTGTGATCAGCTGGACTTAATCACTAGCTGGGCCTTTTGGTCCTTTCTCTTACACTCAAAAAAACATAAAGATTGTTTCAGCCAGGATATGTTTTCACGTGTTTTTTTAATAATCATAATTCAAACCACTGTATGTTTTAATCAGATTTTTATCAAAAATAGGATACTAATTCAGTGATAGTATTTCAAAATCATTAAATTCTTCTTAAAAGACCTGTGAAGCCTTCTAACAAATTGCTATGTCATTTTTATTTGTATTTAGATTCTACTTCAAAGAAATCCTGCCGCCAGAAGACTAAACAGTGAATAAAGTCCTTGTGGCTTTTACCTATGGCCGTTCTACTTGAGTAGGGAGCTTGCGGTGTGGCGTGGCGTGGCGTGGTGTTGCTGAGCAGTGCCCAGCCTCCTCACGTGCCTGAGACGCCAGCCCCAGAATGCCACTGACTGTGTTCTCACCTTTGTGCATTGCTACAGAGCCAAATGGAGTACTTTTTATGTAGTTCCAGTATGCTTTTGCTCCCTACCTTCAGGATGTGCGTGTGCTCTCGTGAGTGATGGGCAGCTACCCAGTCCTTCTCACGTTGGCAGAGCCACCTGCTTGCCTCCAGGAAGGGCTAGCAGAGAACATCTCCCTGTTGTTTATTTTCTTACAGTGTACAGATGGAAACTTGGTTTAAAAATAAAAACACAAAGGAAAATCAAAAAGAAAGAATATAATTAAAGACCTATTTTATTTGTGAATAACCTTTGTGTTGTTTTTTAGTTTTATCCTGTTTGCTTTTATCAACTGGGAAAAACAAAAACAAAAAAAGCATAGACTTAGAATTTATGTTAAATTCCTGTAAGTCAGAAATTTTCAATGGAACTCAAAGTACTCTTCACCTATTAAGATACTTGCCTGTTGCTTCATCTTACTTGGTTTCTCACTTTACTTTTGTACAAGGCAGCCACTCGGTGATGCTAATCATGACTATGATCTTTTTACCTTTTACGGATACACACTTGTACCACCTGGTATCTAGCCAAGTATCCTTTACCCAGAAATCTGTACAGGTATATTTATAAGCATCTCAGCACGTTTTTAGGACCTTTGAATGTGACATTTATCTTTCTGGACTTAGTTAGATTTTAATACAAGACAACTTTTTCTAATCGCTCCTTTTTTTGGTGGTATTTTCTTTTAACCTGCAACACTGGTCTGTGCCTGCATCTTCTGTGTATTAGCTGATGCTGCTATAAGGCCAATTGTTTAGTGCCTTCCTGTGTTTTCCTCTGAGTTCTGTGCTCTTTCACCTGATTTGCTGAAGCTGCAATCCTCACAGGAGTCGGCAGCTTGCGCAGAGCAGACAGTTTTAGTTGGACTGGAAGCAACACAGGCACGTGGCCAGTACAGCCCGCCCATTGGCTACGAAGCATTTGTTCTTACCCTCCCACCCGAATTTAATTACCAGAATGTGATTCAGTGCACCTGCCCGATGCAAGGCAAATAGGGTGTCCTATCTCAGTGGGGCAGGCTGCTCCTTCAGGACTGATTTATACAGTTCATGCACCCCGGCCTGTCATACAAAATAGGCAAGCTGAAAGCGGGTGTCCAAGGCAGGCATTAAAGTACGAGGTGCTACGGCCCTGCTTTCATAAGTAGTCACAAGGCCCCACTTAATGTTTATCACCTCCTTCCTTCCTTCACCTAGTCCTTGTTTCTGAACCTCACTAAGTACCTGGGCTGGGTGGGTGACCTAAACTTTTCCTTTCTCAAAGATTTGAGACCTTAATAATCTTGTTCTTAGAGAACTTCCTTTTTTCCTTTAGCAACTGAACTTAGGAGTACTAAGTACCAAGAGGTGCCCATGAAAGTAGATTCCAGATACAGATTTTCCTGTCCTATTTGTGTGCCAGCCACCCAGTTTCCCCTTGGTAATCGGGTTCAGTTGCACCAACCAGTACGGTAACCCTATCGTTGCTTGCTGGTTCAGATGAGCCTCACTCATTCAAAGGGACCATTGTTGTATCTGGTGGAAGCCATCCTCCCCTGGGACAGCAGAGCCCTTTAAGAGGGGCCGCTTCTGTCTTCACCCTTTGGGTTCCCAGGCTGATACACTGTGGCTGTGGGAGAAAATGCACCCCAGCGAGTCCTCAGGGGGGAGGCGTTTCACATCCTTCCGGTGCGGGCCTTCCGGTTGATGGAGTCCATTCCATGGCCATAAGCCTAGTGCCACACTTCCGTCAGAAGTGTTTTCTGGTCATCAGAAATCATGATGGATAATATTTAGGGAGTCCACACGTGAGTCTGGAGCAGGAAAACCAAATTTATAGTCTGTAGGAGTGGCCAGAGGCTTGGGGACCTAAGCCACCTGCTCATGCAATTTACTTTCACCTCCTTGACCTGCTTGAGTCTTGTCTCATGTCATTCTTCAACACCAATTCAACAACCAAGTGTCCTACAGCTTAAATCAATTCTGATACTGCCTGGAGTTAGCACAGACCATAGGTTAGCTTCAGTTAAGGACTCAGTCCCCCAAGACTGCCCTCACTTTAGACACCAGCCATAATGGGGTTCCCTGGGCTACACACTTCTGCCAGCCAACTACAAATTTGGGGTTTTTCACAACCCCCTCCACTCAAGTTTGGTAATTCTTTAGAAAGTCTCAGAACTCAGGAAAGTGCTACACTGAATGTTACCAGTTTATTATAAAGGGTATAACTTAGGAAGAGCCACATGGAAGAGATGCATGGGACAGGTACGCAGGCAGGGCACAGAGCTCCTGAGCCCTCCGCAGGTGTGCCCGCCCTCTCAGCACCTCAGCCTGTTCACCAACCTCGAGCTCCCTCAAACCTCATCCATCAATTTTTACCACAGCCTCATGATGGGGTGATCATTTGCTTTGTGACTGAACTGGCACCAGCCCCCACCCTGCAGCTATCTAGCGGCCCCACCATGAGTCACCTCAGCAAAAACACAGGTACGAAAGGCGCTCATCGCTAAAGACTAAACGTATTTTTATCAACTCATAGGTAGCACTACATGTGTTGGTGGGTCACTGCCGCTCACTTTGATAGCTCAGTGATCAAACAGCACTCTGCACGGTGGCAGCTTGAGTTGTACAGTGCTTGGTATCCCGTGGGCAGGACGTTGGTCTCTGCCAGGACTGAGGAGTGGGATGTTTCTCAAATGGAGAGTGGGTCAGCAGCAGGCCGGGCTTTGCATCAAGGCCCCAGGCGTCTGCCCCAATGGGGCTTTCCGCATCCTTCACTGCAGAGGCACTTCAAGCGTCACTGAAACCTATTGTCCAGGTCTCACTTGAAGCTAACAACCTGTCAGGGGTGTCTGACCTTTTGGCGTCTCTGGGCCACACATTAAATACACAAACACTAATGAAATCCCAAAAAATCCCATAATGTTTTAAGTAAATTTACAATTTTGTGTTGGGCACAGGTGGCCCACAGGCTGCAGGCTGGACATGCCTGGCGACTTCCTCAGTAAATAGACTGGAGCAGCACCCCCAAATATGGTTGTATCCAAAATCCAAACAAGCTAAGCCTTGCGCCTTTCTCAGGTGTAGGTAGTGCAAGATGTGGCTACTTGTTTTCCATTTTAGAAAGGATGCTGTGATGTTCCACAGACTACTTGACCCCTAGAAGCTTCGCCAAAGTGGTGGGCCCCTGATTTTTCATGGATTTTTCTCCCACCATCCAGTATTCATCTTACTAAGGTTTCTAGGGTACTTACTGCTTCCTGGTCACTAGGGGCCAGTTGCTATGACACCTATAATGTAACAGATCAAAATGATATTACGGTGTCTAAATAAAGGTAGTGAAAGTTATTGCTGTCTGGTAGCTGGAATTGAACTGATCACCTTTTCTAGTTGGTATTGAGATAAAGATGAAAAGGGAGCCTGAATATAAAACTCGTGATTGCACCTGGGACAGACGCTGTAGCTTCGGGACCCGTGTCAAGTGTGAGGCCAGCTGTGGGAGGAGACAGCCTACACAAGTCATGAACCTTGTAAACAGCACGCCCCTGAACACTGGAAACGGTGTGTCAACTCAGCCTGCTGTAACAGAAGACCACAAACGCTGGGTGGCTTATAAACAACAGAAATTCGTTTTTTTCAGTTCTGGAATCTGGAAGGGTTCTGGTGAGGGCTCTTTTCTGGGTTGCCAAGTATATTCATGTGGGGGAGAGCAGAGAGGGTAAGCAAGCTCTCATGACTTTTACATGGGCACAAATCTCATGAGCGCTCCGCCCTCACTGCCTTGTCTAATCCACTACCTCCCAAAGCTTCCACCTAACACCATCACACTGGGGAATAGGACTTCAACGTAAGAATGGGGTCGGGGAGAAATGTTCAGTCCATAACAAATGTATATGAAACTGGGCCTGGTATTGTAGAATTGTATGCCTGAAAGCTATATAATTTTATTAACCAATGTCACCCTAATAAATTCAATAAAATAAATAACTGAGCCTGAACAAATCCAAAAAACATAAGTAAATGATCAGAGTGGTCTTGGTTGTGCTAAATTTTCTACTTCATTGTTTCCCATTCAGTCCACATCTGTGGTATTATGGGAAGACCCTATGACCAGTTGACAATAGAAGAAAGCATAGGTTTATTGTTTCTTAAAAGTTTTTTTTTAAGTTTATTTTAGAGGGAGGGGGAACAGAGAGAGAAACATCGGTTTATTGTTCCACTTTTATATCCTCACCTGAGGATATGCTTATTGATTTTAGAAAGACAGCAAGGGAGGGAGACAGGGAGAGAAATGTGGATGTGGGAGAAATCAATCGGTTGCCTCTTGCACATGCCCCAGGTGGGGACCAAATCTGCAACCCAGGCATGTGCTCTGACCTGGAATTGAACCTGTGACTCTTCGGTTTAACACACGACACTCCAACCCCCTGAACCACACGGGCCAAGGCTATTGTTTCACTTATTGATGCATTCTAGTTGACTCTTGTACGTGCTCTGACTGGGATCAAACCCACGACCTTGGCATATCAGGACAATGCTCTAAGCAACTGAGCAACCTAGCCAGGGCTGAAAACATAGGTTTGTTGTGCAGAGAGATCTGCACCATATGCTGGCATTATCCAGAAGTAGACAGTTGCTGCACTACATCCCAGCTTATGAATGGATTTCCAGTTGAAAAAACTTTGGATGTGATGGGCCCTTTCATGTGGAAAGAGTTGGCCTGAGTTACTGATCTATAAGCATTTAGGTGCAGTGGGTAATCAGTTGTCCAGCTGGTTCATAACTTGACAGAGGAAAGATTGGTATTAAGGAAGGCTAACAGGACACGTATGTAAACAGACCTCTGCCTACCAGAGGGCATCCATGTGACGGACCAGATGACATGTCTGTGGATGTTGCTCAGCCTGTTTCTTTAGCCAGCATGGTGCTTTCTGAACGAACTCATGAGAAGTGGCCACGGTGACAGGAAGGAGCCTTAACATTGGTTCAACAACATAAACTTCCTTTCACCAAGGCTTCTCCAGCTTCTGCCACTTGTCTGCCTCAGTTGCCAACACTAGAGGCCAATGCTGAGAACCTGATGTGGTGACCGGGCTCCTTCCATTGTAGAGGAGCAGTGATTCGTCCTCCCAGGAATAGACCCATGTTCCAGGTGTGAATTTGGCTTCCCTGTCCACAGTGTACCTGCCAACACCACCATCCCTGGATTTAGAATGTCTTCTCCATTGCTGGAGTTGTGCACAATGCTGCCTCTTAGCGGCAGACATGCAT